TTGCTTAATAGGCGTAGCATCACCAGTATCAATGACATGCTGTACAAGGGATGTTCTGCCCAACTGATCCCCAGGAAAAGCAAAAGCATTACGATATTTATTAAACAAATTCTTAAACTTTACTTTCTCATCATCATTCAGAATACTATTCGACAAATCAGGAAACTCTGAATAATCTTTTGGCTGTTGCAGATCATCTGAAGAATTATGTTGAGCATCCGAAGAAGGTGAATTTTTGCCAATCTCAAATGTTGCTAAATCATTATCAACACGCTCAAAATCTGCCAGTTTAGTCCTACGAAAAATTTTAACTGGTTGAGCGGAAGGGTTTACCATCCTAACAGGAATAGTTACATCATTAGAAACCTTTACGAGCTCTGACGCTCCAAAAACTGAGTAACGGTGAGGCAAATCAGACTTAGGCGTGACCAATCCATAAATTTCACTGGCACTTATGTATACACCTTTCGGCAATGAACTTAATCTCCCAAGGACAACGACTTCTGATTGAGCGGGAATAGTAAAAGAATTATCAGCATGCACTGACAAAATACATTGATCAAAACCTTCAGCATCCAAATCATCACCAAAACTTTCAGCAAAGGGGAGGGGATCCTCGTGGTGGGAAAATTCAATGATGTTATCCATAAAATCAATTCTCGAACAATATTTTTGAAGAAAATCTCTGCCCAAAACAACGTCATGAGTTAAATCTTTGATAACATAGGCTTCAAAAGGAAAAACATCAGACTTAATAACAAAATTGAGCCATACTTTACCAAGAACGTTAAGAGGAGAACCACTTACAGTAGTTACACAACTGGTCGACGAGAAATCTAAACAACAATTTTTGTAACTAAGATACTTGTCCCGAACTTGCGAACTAATTGCTGTTACAGCTGCTCCTGTGTCAAGGAGTGCATGATAACTATTTCCTTCTATAGTTACACTTATATTAAAATTGTCCCTCTGGAAAGGATGGATAGAATCAATTTTACTCGATGTGGCAGGCAAAGAAACCCTGTCAGTCACGTCAGTCACATATGCCCTTGTCTCAGGGCTACTTGCGACAGATAAGCCACGACACTCACAACAAACATTATTTTTAGCCTCAACGATATTTACTTCCAAATTTTCTTCATTTTTAGACTCAGGCACCAACTGTTCTTATTTTTTAATTTCTTCTTTACGGACTTCTCGAGATAAATTTTCACTTGAAGACTTCTCATAAATGACTTCACTTTTAGGAGAAAACATAGGTACATTTGGCGAATGAACATTTTCGTTTTCATATGGGGATGACCCGGCAAATACACTATCAAATTTTGTTATGACCTGAGAAAGACACTTAATAACTCCAAACAAAATATTTTCATTAGGGACATCTTGAGGTTGGCAATCTTGACAACACTCATGTTGACGTGTGACGGAAACTTGAAGTTTAAACATTTTAGACTTTGGCGTAACAATAGGCTCACAGGGATTAGACACAACATGGCTAAACTCTTGAACATTCTTTTTAGTAACTTTCTCGGCCGAATTTCCAGAGTTACTGAAAGCACATTTATCAGAACTAGATCCGACGGAAGAATGGTTATTACCTGTAGAATTTTCAAGCGGGCCCATCACGGGTTCACTACCACACACGATAGGGGCGCCAGCCAGTTTAACTGAGCGCCCATTTTTCCCTGGTGAAAAGCATTCTACATATTGTTTCTCCGATACAGGCCTCTAAAGTTGGGTTTTGAACTTCCATAACTGCCTAATTTGGGATTCTTTCTGAAAACGCTGCCCCCATAACGAAAACGATTAAGTTTGCCCGATGGAAATTTACGATTAACACGACGATTTCCATTATTTTGGAAATTTGTACCCCGGACATCAGATTCGTCTCCGACAGATTGTTTGATTTTCTCTTCTGAGGGGTTAAACTGTAATTCTTCAAAATTCTCGACTTCTTGACCATTATTCGATTTACGGCTAAGAGTTACTAACTCTTTAAGTTTTGCAATGTTCAATGCAGACTCGAAATCAGGCGGTTGTTGTAAAATAACATGTTCACGTATTTCAGGCCTTAAACCACGTACAAAAGAATAAAGCCATTCACTTTTAGGTAAATTTAGACGAGAGCAGAATGAAAGAATATCGTAATAATAATCGGCAACAGTCTCCCCTAATTAACAACTGACGAAGTTCTTCTAATTTTTGCCTCAACTGCCATAGAGTTACTTTTGATTCCAAATGAGAAATTAATTATTGTGACAAAACTTGAAACGACTCATTTTCATCGGCCTCTATTAAAGTCTTAAACCACACGCTAGCGTGTTCTTTTAGAAAAAGGGGAAGACCAAGCGCTAATTTTTCTTCATCCCAACCATTTAACAAACCGGCGCGTCTATAATTGCCAAGAAACTCACGAACATCTTCTCTCTCGTCGCCATAAAATAGTGGAAACTCAACAACGGGCCTATTCATTACTTAAAAACGAGGCTCTGTCATTATTATTTTGTTTTAAATATCACTCTTATTCTACATATAACTAAACTTAGAAAAGAGTTCTCAGTTGCTTGCAATGGTAAAGTTCCTAGCACTTACAGATTTCCAGGGGCTGATCTTGTACTCTTCGCTTGTTCTCACCAAAATATCAGCTTCTTCACCAAAATATCGAGTTCTCCACCAAAATAACGGGTTCTCCACCAAAATATGTGGAGGTGAGTTCGAGCAACTCGCTCGCTACACGACGAGGTACCAGGAATCTGATTTACATCTTGGCCTTTATTCTTCTTAATCTTCATACAACTTCTGCTTACTCTACTTCTACTCTACTTCTCCTACATCTATTAACTAGTTCAAGTATAGTAGCGGTTTTAATAGCCAAAGCTGGACTTGTTTGGGTTAGCTGGCCGGAAGAGTTTCCATTGTATTTCTTATCGCTAACACTGCAACAGGTTTGCTATTGTCAGAGAATAGATTAGCCTACGCACAGCCGCAGCTGATAGGTACCAAATAACGAAGGTCAGCTCTAACACCACAAACACGACCACCTGTAACATTCCTAATATGGCAATAAGTAAATTCGGGAGCTAAGCATAACTTCAAGTACAAGTAAAACAAAAAGATCAAAACAGGAAAACAGTACGTGGACAAAAACAAGACTTAATGAAACAAAAACTAAACTCAAAAGTTAAGATAGATCCGTCCTAAAAATTACTTTCAAAATACTTCACAACACAAGGATTCTCAATCCCAGAGCTCAGGCTTTTGACTCCGTCCGTAGAACGCGCATGCAACCCAGGGAGGGATGGATTTTATGCATTCGCTTTAGAGATCAGAGCATTCAGAGGGCGATAAGACATAGACCAAATGCAGATGCAGCGAAGACCTTCTAGCTCTTGCAAAGTTGACCTCTAGTTGATTTTCTAAACTGGCGGCGGTAGCTTTGCTAATTAGCAGTCTAAACAACAAGTTCGAACATTTTACCTGCAAAAATAACATGCTACAAGTCTTTAAAAAAGCAAGTTGGCTGTGAAACATTTCATCCCGCGAAACTCGGCTCTTCCTGAACAGAAGTCCGAATGATAAGGTTGAAGTACATGGGAAGTGGATTTTATGATATACTGTTCAAAGAAATGTGGTTTGTCACTTCTTCCAAGATCTTGTCCACAGAAATACTTGATTTTTAACAGTAAATCTGCGAGCAAAATCTTCGAAGTCGAGGATCATTTATGGACCCAAGAGCCTGCGGCTCAGATTGATTCGACTTTTACTGAATTTGTAGCGAATCTTCAAGTTTGCCTGGAAAGATCCAATGTTGCTAATTGCCAGTTCTTCGCAACGTTTACGAACCAATTTTGTCCCATGGGAGGGGTGGTTAATCCTCCTTATAATGACTTACACGATACAACCATGATATAACGGTAGGCATTTTTCTTCTGGCCCAGTCTAAGGTCCTGTTTATCTGGAGAAAAGTTGTCCTTCCTCCTACACGTATTCGATGAAAACGAGCACGAAAATTAAAAGTGCAACTTTTAAGAAACGCGTTTTGTAAAGGCTGCTTTCCTGTACTCAGGTGGACGGAAATTTTCTTAAAGGATGACATCACAGTACCTGATTTCGCGGGATGAAATGTTTCACAGCCAACTTGCTTTTTTAAAGACTTGTAGCATGTTATTTTTGCAGGTAAAATGTTCGAACTTGTTATTTAGACTGCTAATTAGCAAAGCTACCGCCGCCGGTTTAGAAAATCAACTAGAGGTCAACTTTGCAAGAGCTAGAAGGTCTTCGCTGCATCTACCAATTAAAAGGCTGGGAACAGAGTTAGCCGGGTACGCTGGGTTCTGAGCAGTATGTAAAAGTCCTTGATGAGACAATTATCTTTGCCGCCGGCCAAACATTGATTTCAAACACAAAGGGAGAATTTTACAACAAATCAAGGACAATCCCTACAAAAAACATCCGACTTCAAACAGGATCAGTAACGGACAGGTTTCGAAAACGATATACATGGGACCGCGGATTTCTTTGAAACCCACACACTAATCCCGTTTTCAAAGAAAAACGGATACGTGTTGACGGAGACTCCATTCTACGTAGCATATTCTTTCTTTCATTAGAAAATATAAACACAATGACCACCAAATTTTGTTTCGACGGTGGCCGTGGTGGTTCTACTGTAATTTATGAATTATTTGTGCAGCTGAGAAACTGAATCTAGACTAAATCAACGCCACGTAATATTAAAGCAAACAATTGCATTAATTCAGTTCCTTTTAGAATTTTCTTTCTTTGATAATGAATGGTGCATTACAAATGTTACTTGCTAAGTCTTCGACCGCAGTCGCTCTATTTAGGTGATACAAGAAAAGAGTTCCAAAAAATTGTCTTTGCACAAGCTGCATATAGTGAGCTTTTGTTTAATTGAAATTTAAAGCCAGTTCCGAGATTTAAAGTTTCGGGTCTTCTATACACCTGTTAGCCACGAATTGTTACGGTTGGCGATTATGAATTTTCTGTCGAGTTTTTACAAGTTCGTCCTTGGCTTGCTATTCCTTGCTAAATTCGTCTTCACAAAGAATTATGGCATCGTGGAAATCACCTCACAAAATTATCAGGATATGGTGATCGACGGAGAAAAAGATGCTTGGATTGTGGCGGTGAAAGGGGCTGGCAAAATATCACGTGCTGAATGGCAAGACTTGGAAGTAAATCTTCGAGGATTATTTGTAAGAGTAGGAATTATTGATCCTGAAGAAGATGGAGCTTTCATGAAGAAAAAGGTACAGCCATTATTTAAATTTCCTTGCAAATACTTTTAGTTGAAGTTTTCTGTATAGCAGCTTTCCTTATTGCTTTGCAGCATTTATGAATTTGAAAAACGTTTTCTGCGTTCTCTAGAGACTTATTAACAACAGGTTCATAATCTCTCACTATGATTCCATTCTGGTTCTCAGAGCCCCACGTTTCTTTTGATCACGTGGTTTTTGAAACCATCCACTTGTTCGTTGTGCTACGATTTTGATTTTTCGCTCGTGCGCACTGAAGATATCTAATTTTGTCTCTTTCGTCTTTTCCGTATATTTTCTCGAGGTTTATGAATTGTTTTTTGCTTTCCTCCTAAATAAGCAAAGGGAGACCGTAAACTGCCGTCTCTTTTTCACAGCCTCATTAATCCTTGTTCAGCTGAAGAAAGGACCGCGGCCCTTGGGAACGAGTTTGCTTGAGGGGTTGCGCGTGAGATCTGGGTCGGAGTTCTGTCGAATTGCACTATGGGATTGTTTTGGGGGCACCATTGTTTCTTTTATTGGCTACTGACTAAGCTGCGTGGGAAACTGGGTCAGAAATGAAGTGCAGTTCGACACAACACCAACCCAGTCACGCGCCACTTAAAAATAGCCGATGATGTAATACGTAGCCTGCGAAAACATCCGTTTCTCCTCGCTCTTCGCCGCTGGGGAGCGACAGAAATTCCATACTGATGACGCAAATCATTTTGTGTTTACATAATGATACCGGTAGTCATGGGGTTCAAAATACAAATTTGTCCAATTTCACGTGTCTTCTGGTCGATTCTGGTGAAGTGTTGTGTTCATCTGCCAACGAGCTCTAGCAAAACTCAAACGCTTCTTCTAGAGGAGAGTATATTCCACAAATATTGACTGTTTTGCGAGAGATTCTTCGCGTTTACATTTGACCTTTGTGGCCTTTTGTCTGTCATTCGTAAACAATAGCTAAAACAATGTAACTACTCCGTCGACCAATCAGCGCTTCTGACCGGATTCTGGACAGATTTTGCGTCATCAGTATGGAATTTCTGTCTTTGAGTCGCAGACGTTCCTCCGCGCGAAACGTCCCCAGCGGCTAAGAGCGAGGAGAAACGGATGTTTTCGCAGGCTATGTAATACGTAGAGTGATTTTACTTGAATCGTGGAACAGATACTAGAAAATAGTGCAAAATAACGAGAGGTAAACAAAAAAGGATAATAGAATAGGTACATAATAGTGCGTAGTATTCTACTGCCTGTTTCACGGTTCAAGTAAAATCACTCTTAGCAACTTGTCACCAGGACAATTATAGTCAAGAAAAGAGAGAAAACGCACTACAAAGATTTTATGGCATGCAAAGTTATTTCGCTTGCCAGTAGGATATTAAAAAAATTTTTTTTTTTGCTTTTTGTTTATAGTTCAATTCAGTAGCCCTTGAAGAGTTTAGCTTCTCTTTATAGCATACCTTATTATAGGAAATTAACGCTCCATGAAATTAACGCGAATCGTTAAAATTCGCGTTAACTTAAGTCGCGTTAATTTTGTTGAGCGTTAATTTTTAAGTACAGCGTTAATTTCCGCGCTCTTAATTTCCAGTATTTTGACCCCAATTTTGAAACCTGTCCAGACATTCATGACACCCACCCGAGCTTTCTTTCTTTCCATTTACCCTTTATTTTTTATCTTTCACCAAAGCTAAGGCGAAGGTTTACAATATTTCGACGGTTCATCTTCCTCGTTGTCGCGGTCAGAAGTGATGTCAATATCTTCTCTCGATTTCGGCCAAGATAGATTTCGAATCGTCAATACCAACTGTGTCTTAATCGCGTTCATGATTTCCTGTATTATGAAATTCTACCTCCTATTTCGCGTTAATTTTCTTTATTCGAAAGTCGTTTTCCATTAAATTCGCGTTAATTTAAGTCGCGTTAATTTCCAATACCTTAATTTCATGGAGCGTTATTTTCCTATAATAAGGTATATTTACGTTTCAAGTAGCGATTCTTGATTTGTTTGCGGTTTTTAATAAATTTGTGAGCCTACTCGCCTATACTGATATCAATTGAACTGATTTTCTTTTTATTCCCAGGGCTTTCTTCAAAAGGACAAAAAATATCCAGTTGCCCGAATATTTCCATATGGTGGGTACAAAATTAAAGCAGCTGAACAACAAGATGTGGACACCCTGAAGGAGGCTGAAAAAATTGCACTAGAAAGCCTTCCAGACGAAACAATGAAGGTCAAAAACATGGACGAACTTCAATTGTATGTAAGACGAGCTTACTCAGCCAAACCTCTGAAAATGCCAGTACTATTGGTGACAGGTACATCAAGTATCTATTCTTTCTTTATTTTTGATTATTAGATTAGAATTAAATTTCAAGTCTTTAACGAAATTTTTCAAGGTCAAGCAACAACATCTATTTGTTGGAAAAATAAATAAATGTTGCTTGCGGAAAAATGAACTCGGCAGCTTCTTCGGATAACTTGTTGCAAATCGGAGCGTACTCATCACTCGATCACACATACAGTGACCGAAGATATGAGTTACTAGCAACAACTATAATCCCGACTGTAAAATCAGCGTTGCTTTTTTTGTTTTAACAATTCTGCCCCCGGGGGGTACTCCCTATGATAGCCTTTACGCGGAGGCTCTGCCCGAAAGAGGTATCTGTTTCACGCTTCAGGTATATGAAAGGGTAGGGATTTCACTAGTATAGCTGAGGTGTACGAAAGGGTAACATAATCAGCCATGTCGTTGTGTAAAGGGCGAAAAAGGCTAAGAGAGCACATTTTATGGCTGTGAAATAGTCGAAAAAACGTTCTGGTTATGTGATGAATTTATACAAGAGAGTCATGCTAAAAATGTAAAGTTCCAAATTAGGTATGTGAAAGGAGTACCATTGTAAACCCATGGCAAGAGAGAATGAGCACATGGTTAATAGAAGGTATATAAAAGTAACGTTTCTGTCAAAAATGGTATATAAGAAGGTATTTAAGGGGTGCGGGTTGCACCTCAGGGCGGACCCCCCCCCCCACCCCCCCGCATATAAAACTTGTTTAAGTACTCCCGGGGTTCAGCCTTAAAGTATTGAGTCATAAGGAATAAAAAAAACAAAAAACAGAATCATCATGAAACTGATATTCTCTCATCTTTCCTTCTTCCAGAAAAACGAGTTACTTCACCTCTCTTACGCGCTATCACTCTGAGGTATTCCAAGTTCTTTACTTTCGGCGTCATGCGAAAGCCTAGTCAGGACATACTGCGGAGCTTCCACATAGAGAAACTACCAACAATTCTGGTTATGATTGCTACCGAAAGTCCAGACAAAGCGCGGATCACATTCAGCTCTGTATTTTATGATACGAAGCTTTATGGCGGGATCTCGTATCTTAACTTGACGAAATTTTTCTATTCCGTACATAATAAGCATTGGGGAGACCACCCCGACGCGAAGAAATACAAAGGAAAAGTGGGGCTAAAGGAATTTTACGTTGAAGACCTCAAAGAAATTTTGGCAAAGGATGAACAGAGAGATGATACTTTGGATGAGAAACGAGAAGTTGAAGTTACATACGAGAATCATAAACGAGTGTGTACTGACTCCGCACTAGGATTGTGTTTGATCTATTTTTTGGATGCTAAGGAAAAGAAAGAGGTTAAGAAAGCTATGGGACTCTTCAAAGAACTGCAGAAAATGCCGAGTCTTGAAGGTAACACGAAATGCGACTTTAAATTCCTCAATTGTGGCCCATGATTTTGTTTCAAGTTGATTTCCTTTGTTATAATATATGACATGAGACAAAGAATAATAGAATTTAAACCACACTATTAACACCTTTAAGGGTCGGCCACTCCTCAGTGAAAAATCCGTTAAGTCACCTTACATATATGTGTACAACACGAGAAAAAGTTCAGTCTTACGCGCAGCTAATTTTACACTGTAGTAACGTTGAAGATCATGTTCCAAAAGACTTCTAGAACAGTTTTCAGAGATATATCGTCTTGCCTTTCGCACGACGACGTCATTATATCACTACGACCAGAATCCTTCGATATTTTGCGTTCTTGCACAAATCAAGGCTTTTGAAATTTAAACCTTGCTGGGATTACCAAATTTAAAAATGAAAGGAAAGTTGAAAAGGATTTTGGTCGTAGTAGTGAAATGACGCCAGACTTCGTAAACGCTAAAAGCCATGCAAGAGAGAAACCTCTGCTCGCAGGGTATTGAATTCCTAAAATAATCGGGTAAACGTTTGCTATTGAGGATAGGATTGAAACTTGAAAAAAAAAAACGTTTTAATGCTATTCCTGCAAAAATCGCCAAAAAAAAAAATAATAGTTAGTTCTCCTTGATAAAATGTGTTATATAGATCTTCTTTATAACTCTGCAGGAGCCTTTTGTGTATGGGTAAAGGCACCAAAAACTGAATTCAGCACAGACCTCGAGATAGGGGGGTGGGGCGGTCATCCAGACCCTTACATAAGGGGGTGAGGGGGAGCCGGTGTCCAAAAATTTGTTTTCGGTCTGGACTAAAAATAGAGGGGAAGGGTCCGGGTCCCCAGGGCCCCTCCCCTGGATCCGCCAGTATCCTCGTGACATAATAGCCCCTTGTATCCCAAAGAAAGGGGACCAGCTCTTTTATATGTTATAGTTTGATTTCATCGACTATTCTTCTCCTTTAGGAAAACCTCTTCATTATCTCTGGGTGAACGCCTCGTGCCATCCTGAATATGGTGAAATCTTTGGCATCTTGGAAGACAACCTTCCAGCGTTGTTATTTGCAAAACCAAAACAACGGCTGTTTAAAACAATGCATGGTGATCTCACTAAAGAACGTGTTAGTGACGTTGTCTCAGAAATTTTTCTGGGACGCGAGAATTTATCGCCTTTTTCTCGATTTAATGAAATGCTGCCGGTTGAGTGTCAGGAAACAGCCACGTCAGAAGAAACGGATAAAAAGAGAACAAAAGCCAGGGACAAGAAAGAGTAAGTCTTCAAGAAAAATTTATGATATAATTATTTTTTTGACTTTCAAGAACCATACTGGTCCGTGTCTATATGTTCTTTAAAACCGAGTAATTTTTGACCCCGTGCTCAACTTTTCAACAGCTTCTACTGTTCATTTAAAATATTTCTACTTTTTTGATAGCCTGCGTAGCAGGCATCGAAAGTAGTCGGGGATTGGAGGGAATGGAACAAGGAAGGGGGATTGGGGAGAGAGGGTAAGCGCTCTCTTCCATTTTCCCTTTTCGCGCTTTTCTCCCTCTCCCCGTCCCCCCCCCCCCCCCCCCTCGTCACCTTTTTGCGCCTGCTATTAAGGCTCCTTTTTTGATTGGTTTAAATCCCCCAGTTGGTTCTTTTTTACCGTAACTAAGCGATTCTCGCACACTGATTGGTAGAGAGTAATCTTCGATAAGAGTACAGACCATAGAAATGACGTCTGTGAGGATAGCACAATTTGTTTCTTTCTTTCTTGCGCGCGCGATTCTCCGATTAACTTCAACGGGAATGGACATCAAAACATTCCAATGTTATTGTAAAAAACAAAGCGACAATTTTCCATGGTCTATTCTCTTATTGACCATAGAAATGAGGTCAAAATGATTTAAACTTTGCAGTGAAACCACTCGCCAGCGGCTCGTGGTTCCACTTAAGTTTTGAACACTTTGACGTCATTTCTAAGGTCCGTAAGAGTACAGACGATGGGAAATTGTTGTCGTTTTGTTAAAAAAAAAACAGCTTGCGTTGAACAAATTTGGAAGATGTTTGCGGATATCAATACAATTGAGTTCTTATTTTGGTGCATGCGCTTGCCAAATGTAGCTCGCTGCTTAGTGCGCAAACCTCAGGGAACAAACTAAATGTTGCTTAATTTCTTTTCTCAATTTAGGAAAACGTCGAAAAACGAAAAGAACAAGCAAGAATCTTCTGCTCATAGAGGAGACGAGCTATAACCCAAACAAAATAAAAATACAGTTTTAGGTAGTTTTATTTTAGCATCTAGACTACGAGTAGTCCCCATTTTTCCGCAAAGATAGTAGCGTTTCGCTCGCTCTACTATCCCTGAAGAAAAACAGGGACTACTCGTAGTCTATTTTGCATCTTAGGTAATTTAAAAGTTCTGCTTCCAGTTCTTTCAATAAATGATTTATTTGTATACTGTATTTTGATTGATTGAGGTTGACATTGATGAACTTAAGGCTGGATTTCTCTAGCCATTGAATCGGAGTCGTAAAAGCCCTTATAACCCCAGTGAAAATGAAAATCAGATTCATAAGCCCGACTGAATAGGAGCTGCAAGAACGAGATCGTTCCCATTTCCTTCCGATTCTGCCTTTGAAAACAGCCTATGTTTCGCGACGCTACCGGTGCTTTCCCCGCGAAATGATCGCACAAATTCCATACCGGAGACGCGTCAGTACCCAGATCTGCGTAGAGCTTCTTATTGGATGAAGAAAATTTCCGCCCAATCAGAAGCTCTACCCAGATCTGGCTTGTAAGCGTCATCATTATAGAATTTCTGCGCTCGTTTCTCAAACGTCATTTTGCGGGGAAACCAAAGTGAAATATCGGCTGGTTTCTCAGCGAAAACCACTGAGATTGTCGGAGTCGCACTAAGCAGAAGATGTGAGAATGAAGCAGTCGCAACGTTGGCTCTCACCCTTTGTGGTTGCTTTTCTTCTTTTCAATCTGCTTGTGACTCCGACAATCTGGTTTGCAATATATCGTAAGCAAAGAAGTCGAAAGCAGAATCGGACCGCTACCTACTAGTATCTATCCAGATCTATACAGCCCTTCAGTTTTGGTAAATATTTATTCACCTTTCCAGTTTTACAAGCACATGTATATAATACTATGCCGTTTATCTCAAACTGAGTACAAATACACTTGTCTCAAAGAAATAATTTTTGCCTGACTCATCTTTGTAAAATATATTATAAATGCATTAACGCGAGGGGCGCGAAATATTTTTAAGCAAAACCCACGTACAAAAGAGAAAAATCTTACGGTGTACATTAACAGAAATATTTTTCACTCCTCTCTAAGTCTAGAAATTAATTGTCGTCGAAATGTTCTTGGGTGATCGCGGCGAGTTTTGTACTCGTTACAAAACCACTCTTCCTCCACTTTTGCTGGAATCACGTTGCTTTATTGTGACTCGAAACTCCTGGAGTACTCTCAAAAATCAAAACAGGCCACGCAGATGTGTTCCATGAATTTTTGACTTTTTTTGGACAAAGTTCTTAAAAACCGTTGTCACTCCACGTAAATAGACTAAATGGCCATTTTTGTAAGTTCATAACTTTTTTCATGCTATTTAATCGTCGTTCTTGCTGAAATAAAGCGACCAACGAAGTACAGCAACTCTCGCTCTATCTAAAACTGCTTGAAATGAATCCATGGCTGGTCGGACATCAAGGAAAACAAACTCGCCTCTCTTGTATGCTTCTTCGTCCCCAATGTCATAGTAATCGATAATGTATCGGACTTCTTGGCCACAGCGATCGACGATCCAATCGTGACGATCAAATGGTAACTCGTACCTGGGGATTGGGAAAGAGACCCTCTTAGAATGACCAGCATTTAATTTCTCCTTAGAAACCACACATTAATGTCATGGGAGTTGAGCGATTGATCACCACGTAAAAATGCCCTGTTAACCAATTCGCCTCTGAGCCGCCCGTAACCGCCCTTGCGGATCCACGTCCCTTCTACCGCTTGTGACGTTATCAGTTTTAATGGTCCAGGACAACTTTGTCCGCTAACTTGTGCAGAGTGAAGAGATCTTTCAAAGCATACCAGAATGAGCACAATTCAGTCAAGGACACCAAAGAAAAAGTCAAAAAACCATGTAACATTGACCTGAAAATTTCCAGGAAAATCTTGTTGCACTACCCACCTACCTTTCCTTTCATCTAATCCCAAGATCGTAAAAGCTTTCCTAAAAACTTTTCCCACCAAAATGAAGCCTACTAAATGCCCAGCAAAAGAAAAAAAATGAGAAAAGAAAAGCGAAAGCGAATATTTTGCATCTGCATCAGAAGGCCGCAAAGTGCGCGACCTGTAAATGGCTTTATGGTAAGTTTTAGCTGGTTATAGCACGACAGTGACGAAAAACCGCTCGACCAGCTTCAAAACGTGTTTTTCGGCAAAATTTTAGGGGGTGATTGGGTTAAACAAATTCTCCTTATTAGCACCATAGGAAATGTATTGAAAACAGTCTGGAAAATATGGACAATGGTACATGTAGGATTTAAAGGATTTCTACACAGTTTGTAAAGCAGTGAAAACCCCAAGAATGTATTCAAATGATTTTAAAAAGCTCTTACCCCATCCAACTTCTAATTCTTGCTCTGGGAGAAAACTCCTTTGCTTTCCCTCGAAAACTTAGAAGTTTTGGTGAACTACATTCCCTGAAAAAAAAAAAACATCACCGATGAAAATAATGACACTACTGGCAGTATTACTAGTGGGGGGAAGGGGGTCCAAATTCCCTGCCCCCTGTCCCTTGCATTCCCAACGCTTTCTTTGCAATTAAACTTTATAGTGACAATTATACCTTACTCTAGAAGACTCAAATTCTCTGATTTCTATACCCTTTCCCAGACTAAAGTTCTTGAAAACTATACATTTCACAGCAGTTCTAACTGTATATCAGTAGCCCAGATGTGGCAGCTGGTACCCTCCCTCCAATCCCTGGGGGTTCTAAACCTAGCTGTACCTTATATGTTTGCTATTGCCTTACTTGTAATGCAGTGCCTCCCACTTCAGTATCTCCTGCCATGCACTCTCATTGTTAGCGTTATGAATTTTGATGATATTTTCCATGTCATGGGGTTGAACCTCGTCATCCTGCCATTTCCAGCCTTTACGCAGCATTGCATTCCAAAACATCTGCTGAGATGGGTATACCCAGTTTTCACTTTTGTCAGTCCCCCCTCTGGGAATAGTTGACACCTGGCGATTAATCGGCAGAGCAAATGGCTGACCGGGAGATGGCCTTTGGTTTGGCCGTGGCATCTGGAAGGTAAACATAAATACCGTATTTATTCGAATAAGCGCCCAATCTTGAATCAGTGCCTACCTGGAATAAGCTCCCTTCCTAAACATAGAAAAAGTTAATAAGCGCCCAGCCTTAAATAAGCACCCACAACCAAAACCCACCCCCCTTTCCCCTCCCACTCTACAAAAATGAGAGACTAATAAGAGACTTTGCTGAAGAGAGTTTTCTTCAGAGTATTTTACAGAAACCTTGCTTTGTTACATCTTTGGTATTATCATTTATTGACTTGTTGCAAAATAAATATTACTACACTTGCTGATAATAAGTGCCCAGCCTCGAATAAGCACCCAATCTCAAGGTCCAAAAATTTAATAAGTGCCCAGGGGCCCGTTTCTCGAAAGTCCCGGTAACTTTACGGGCCCGAAATCAAATATTCAAATCGCAATATAAAGAATAAGAGCGCGGGTCCTGGCTAGCAAACTACTCCATTTTGTTTCATTAACTGACAGTTTTATCGTGTCAGATAAAAAACTATTGAAACGTCGATCTTTAATGTAAACGGAGACAGCTTACCGGGCCCGTTAATTATCGGGACTTTCGAGAAACAGGCCCCAGGGTGGTTAATTAAATAAATACCGTAATTATTATTCACTTAATTTAAAGTGATACTACGATAAAATAACACAGTCCAAGCTAAGTGAACACTTTGTAATGTGATGTTTAATAAAACAATAAAAATAAAATAAATATTAAATAAAAAGGGTACTCAAGGAAGTGCTTGTGGCTTACAGCTGATCAAGACATATTTCTGACCATCGCTTCTCGCAGAGACAGAAATATATCAGTATTTGCAGGCTGCTGAGTAAGTAGATCAAAGCTATCAACAAAAAAACTGATACTGGGGTTAGAAGTGTTGAAGGATTGACTTCTACATCTTGCAGGAAGAGAGAGCATTGAAGCACACCCATCATGGCCAATTATTTAACAGTTATTCCTTGAGCGATTCAGCCACCATTGTTTTGGTTTTCAAAGCCTGCGCTTTTTGCTACTAGTGGACTATAACATATAGCCTAATAGTAACTCAACCAATCGGAAAAAAGAATTGATAATAGACCACTAGTTGGATTTTACTAAGTAATATTATTATTGTAGGACAGAAGAAGGTGAGTGCAGTGGAACCTTGATTTAATAAACCTCTATATAACAAGGTCCTTGGTACAACAAATGATATTCCTTGCCCCGGTAACAGTAAAATGTTACGAAAAAACCTTGAAATATAACTTGGCCCTTTGTTAATCACTCAACCTCATCTACAAAATTCTAGAAGCAGTAGAAATGTTGACTACATTGATCTCCATCATGATAATGTGAAAACTCTTATTAATAAAATAATTGAATGTAGTCTGTTACCATGTTTGTTGGATCCAAGGCATCTGTTCCTTGATCAATGGTTCTGCTATCACAGCCACTTCCGGCACTCATAGGACACTCGCTGGCTTGAGGCCTCATCCTGCTGTCTTGATGAGCAGGGCACTCACTGATTGATGGCTGTGATTTCTCTGAAGCAAGTGATGTGTGTTGAACTGGACAGCCACTTGGTGGAGCTTGGGTGATGACGGCTGCTCCTGCGCTACCATCAGGTACTGGAGTGGATGAGCTCCCACCCATATCTATAAAGAGAAGAAAACTAATATTCTTATCTACTGAGAATATGAGAAAGTTTTAAAACAAGTTGTGAAACACAAATAATGAAAATGATGCTTTTGATCCCATTCTACATTGTGATGTTCTCAAATGGTCACTCTCAGGCGATTGTATATGTAATGTTATTCCTTTGTGGATACACGTACTGTATGCTTTAATTCAGCAAGGAGGGGTATGGTGGAGGTACTATTTGAAATTAGAACATACTCCATATTTTTAACTTAAGGAGGGGGCATTTATTCAAAGGGAGGGGTGCTTTCATAAAGCAGAGTGATGATTCGAGTAATATTATTACGGCAAGTCACTCCACGTATAAGCCCACTTAAAATGCAGGCTCTATAGTCGGCCACTTGTAAGTTCTTAAATGTGCGAGAAGCGGGCTTTGGCAAGGAGGAAAAGTGAGCAAAGCAAGCTTCAGTTAGGTTGTGCAGGAAAAAAATCTTTGACATGATTATGCTGTGTCAGGAGTGGTGTCAAATATGAGAAGGTTACATCATGCTAAAATCCCTTGCTCTTCTATTGGTCAATTGTTGTGATCTCACCGGGGGACATTTCCCACTGGTGAATCTGCACCAAGCAGGTACGAAAAGTCCTTTAAAATGGTATAACAAACCAGGAGAAAAATACAGGATTTTAGAAAGTCTAGTTAAAAGGGTTCCTTTGAAAAATATGGCGTATAAGTATTAGCCCACTTTCTGACTGGCATGACGCATACAAATGTACATAACAACAGCCATGACTTCCAGTGTTTTCGACACTGTACTAGCTATGAAACACCTCAGCTAAGCACATTTTCCTAGCTTATAAACTGCTACTAACAATAATCTATTAAAATTGCCAGCAAGGGAAAACATGCTTCAGAAAAAAATCATGGTTAAACTTATGATTTAAATAAGCAAAGATTTAAGTTTTATTTCCTACATGGAAAGAGGTTTGTATATTTAAGGATTCCAGCTTTAGATCTGCGTTCTAATGTTGAACAAAAGTTTTTAAACTAGTAAATTTAATCTATCCTTCTAAGGTCAATACCAGACATGACTTATTTCATCATATCAAGCGACAAGGAGCAAAACGTTATGTCACACTTTTACAATCACCCACTAAAGTGCATCAAACCTTCAACGAGAGAACTGTCAGAGCTTTCAAATCATCTCATGTTAAAAATCATAATTTCTCACCTTCTTACGACAGAAAACGCTCTTTTTTCTGTGTGGAAACTCTCTTGCCTTCTTCGATCAGCTACGAGTGAGTAAACTCGTTTCCAGTCTACAGGTTGGACACTCTCTTTTGTATTACATAACGTCCCTTCTCTGCACGCGCGGGGGCGTGGAATTTCTACTAACGTTGCACTGCTTCGATAAGGAAATAACGAGTGAAATTTTTAATTTTATTCACTGTTTTGAGGAGCAAATGATCGTCGCCAGGAGCGCAGGTAGCCTGCTAGCAAGCTCTCCTATTTGGGCGAGGGAAGCGAGTCTCGCGAGAGCGCGCGAGCGAGCGAGCGGCGTTCTCGCGAGGCTTGCTTTGCTCGCCCAAATAGGAGAGCTCGCTCGCAGGTTAGGGCGCAGGAGCTAATAACCCCGCTGTCGCAGTGACAGACCGTAACTGTGATATAAGTGAAAGAAAACGCCATGATGAATCAGAACGATATCCAAACCCTAGCTGGCTCACTGAGAGACCAGTCATAACTTCTGAATAGGGAGCGAGGGGGATTAATTAACTGACACACTACTTAGGCCCACAGTCAGAGCCTATTGGCCATTTTGAGGTAATCTGATAATCTGACTTCAGGCTTTTGCTTGGTAAATAGGGTTCCGGTGGGCAAGGTGAAACAAACATTTAGCCTAATCCCATAAGAGAGAATGTATTTGAGCAGCCAGAAGCCCATGGAGGTGCTCAAATCGGGCCTGATATTTCAGGATTAATTTTGAGGGGCTCCGCTTGAAATTGGGTAGAATTGCACCACGAGAAAAAGGGATGCGCATAAAGACACGTACCCAACCCCCTCCCGCCTCATGAGTCAATAATACCTCAGGTCTTCCTTCCAGTCTATACTGGGACTCTGAGGATATAATAAAGCACACACACATAAGGGCATTTCTCTTTGAAGGTATCTACACCAATATATTACACTTTCTTATATGATACAACAACAGTAACTACAGCATTAATCATAAAATTGTTCTGAAAACTCTTAAAATAATATTAAAACTTTGTTACACATGTAGGTTGCAAAACATCTGGCCCCGGTTGTTCAAACGTTGGATAGCGCTATCCACCGGATAAATCACTATCCAGCGGATAGCGTAATTGATTTCAGAAATAGTTATTTATCCGGTGGATAGCGCTATCCAACGTTTGAACAACCGGGGCCTGTACGATAAGCACAAGCGCAAAGGGACAGGTTTTTTTTTGCGCCAAATAATGTAAACCTGTCTCCTCCTTCATCTATGTTGAACCTCTTGATCGCCCTTGTGGAACACTGGATATGATGCCCCCCCCCCCCTTCTCCCGCCGTGCGCGTTACAATCCGTTAACAGGTGCGACGCAAGGTAAAAGCAAACGGCCCCAAAATTTCCCACTCTAGAAACTATAAGGAGAATAGCTACAAGCTTTCAGCGCAACGAATTCTGGGATCGTTTTGATGGACAAGCCTTACTTATGATTGGTTAATGGTTGCCTTGAATACCATTGACCAAAGCTTGTCCAATTAACGATCCCAGACATCACAAAGCTTGTACCCATTCTTCCTAGAGTTTTAAAAGAGGGGAATTTGAATATTCTGTTCCAAGGGTTGGTGCAAGAGGTAAAACATGAGCAACGCCTACAATACTCGTCAAATTCTGCTGAAACAACAGAGAAGACCTCTTGACTTCCTGTATCCTCTCCTTCCCCAACACTAGGAAGTTTAAGCAGCGACATTTTTGAGTGAAGCGCGTCAACCGGAACTGTGCCTTTTTCTCTTTTACTATGCCTTGAGACCACCACATTTGCATAGCTAAGTGTCTTTACTCTTATACAGGCGATTTGCCCGAGAATTTGACCAAAACCACGGCCGAAGAGTTCAAAAAGTCCACTTCCGGTTTACGTGCATCACTCAAAAACGTTGTTGCTTAACCCTTAAAACCTTAAGATCAAAATTAAAATTCTCCTTTATCGCCCCTATTCTTATTACTATAGAAGAAGTGCGGAGAAGTTGATAAAATATGAAGCAAATACATCTTGTGTGATCATGTCCTTAATTCTCATTACCACTCTGTTTTACAAAGAATTGCTATCACAAGGAGAAATTTGATGCTGATCACTTTAAGGGCTTAAAGGGTTAAACTCCCACTCCCTAATGAGAAGGCAATGCACCATGCTGTACAACAATTGTGACGAATATTGCCGCTTACGTTGTAAAAAAAATAAAATAAAAATAAAATGAAAGGAAATTTGAGGAGATTCATCGGAAGGCTAGAATCATGCATAACTCCGTGGAAGATATTCTATGGTGTGACCGTTAAAAAGAAAGTTACTGAGCAGTACTTTCCTGTGGTAATATTGATTACGAAGGTTACGCAACGGCGACGGCGACGGCGACGGCAACGAAAATGGCAAAAAGGCCCGCAATAGGTTAAGCACACTTGCATCACGCTTTTTGATATACTTTCACCGTCGTTGCAAATCTACGACGTGAAATTCCCTAATTTCTCGTGTTATGGAGCACGTGAAAACAATAAAACAAATCTTTCGTTTGCCACACCTTTAGATACTGACCTTTAGAATTTAACTCCACAAAAATTCACCAACATTTGACAAATTGAAAGAAAGAAAGCGATAACGTTTGAAACCGCGCAAATGCAATTTTCAAGTGGCGCTTTCGCCACCGTCGCTGTCGTGGTTGCTTAAGCTCTCTCCATTGTGCTGCACGAGGTGGTTCTAACTCTTGAGTCTGCGGATGGAATTGCGATCGTTTCGCCCGACGGCGTTCGGCAATACATTAGTCGACTCCCCGATGACATACAACATTCTACAAGAAGACGAAAATACCTTTCGAGATGTTATTTTAGTTACCCTTGAATTTCAAATGTTCATTCACTGTCTTTCCGTGCTTATTCCCTTTCTTCAGGCTTGAAGAACGACAAATACGCTTCGAGCAAATCGACTTAGTCTGGGCGAACTGTTATCGGGCGAACCGACCTTCGGGCGAAACGACCTGATACCCGCGGATGAAATACTAGAGTGTGACAATTCAAATTTTTAAAACCTATTTTGGAGTGCTTTTACATGGTACCAATTGTTTTCCGGTTCCACTGGCAGAATATTCCGATTTTTCTTCAATTTTGACTTCAGCCATTCTTGCAAGAGAAAGCGTTAAACTCCTTCAGAGTCACCCAGCTGACTTGTCCACCAATCACGCACGTCTCCCGCAAACTCCTTCATTTCAGGGATGCTTTTCTTCCGCGCGCGAGGTGCAGCCACAGCGTCTGGTAAACTTCGTCGTTTCGCTGACATCGATAGCTCGTCCGGAAACGTAACAGAACTTTTCTGAGCAGGAGAAATTTTGCGTTCCGATTTCGTGCGCTTTGACGGAGCAGAAAGCAAGATGGACGGTACCTTCGAAGGAGAAGTTAATGAAAAATCGTCACGATCATCTTCACTGCTGTCGTGTTCACGATTTTCACGCTCGGCTTCAGTGTCACGATCTTGCTCCTCATTGGCGGAATTTTCCATGCTTTCCACGCTCGAAGCGCCCGGACTTTTGTTGTCGGAAAACTGGATTCCGCCAGCCAATGGGATACCGCCTTGCTCCAAATGTCGTATCCAATCCCGCTCGGCACGCTTTCGACGCAGATTAATAAACCAATCACGAATGGTTTGAATCGCTACTTCCTCTTCAATTTGATATTCCAGTTCTTCGCGCTCCAGCAATTCTTCCAACTGCAAACTTCGGGTGATGTCGACAGAGCGGTAAGCCAACACGCCAATCACATCATGAAAAGATACTTCGCCTCCGTTTCGGAGCTTTTCAATTTCGTAGCACATGTGCTTGAATAACAACGAACCACTGTCCACTTCTAAGCGACCTTTAAGTAAGCGCAGAACAAGTTTCGCTTGTCTCACTGTCAAAACTCCTTTTCGATACTTGTCTACTAAGTTCCAAGTAAGCTGAAAGTCTCTTAAGTCATTGTTGCTAATCAGCGAATCTTCATCGCTGGAATAAAATAGGGAGAAGTTCTCGATGATTACGGCGATAAAAAGGTTTAAGAAAACAAACGTTACGATGACATAAAACGTCATGAAATATATCCGCGCTGCCGCGCTATTCCCGCAGTCAGTTTCCCAGAAATTGGGCGTGGACTCGTTTTCCGTGCAGTACGGTTCAGACAGCATGCAATCGTGCATAATCTTGTTCCAGTCCTCCCCGGTTGTAATACGGAATAGCAGGATCATAGCATTGAAGCTTGTCTTGAAGTTCGCGTGACGATTTAACGCTTCGCCGTACTTCACAGTACCGAACAAGATCACGCCAGCTAAAGAATAACTAATCATTATTACTATAAGTACCGCTATGATGAAGAAACTCTTCACTAGAGACATGACCACCGTTAACATCAGCATCTTTAGAGTGTCATGTCTACCGGAGAGAGTTAAGAAACGGAAAAGGATAATAACCATTCCAAACACTGTTGTCCCTGTGTATGGATCCCCGCTTCCTTTTAAAGCAAAATTTAAAGTCACCCAGAGTACTCCAAGACTGGTTAGAAACATGTCAAACCGGTTCCGCCGGCTCTGCCAATATCCTGGGAAAGTGAACGCGACAATTTTTAAGAGCATATCGACAACAAACAACAGCGAGCACGCAGCAGCCGTGCTTGTGAGTCCGTCACGCAATCTCAGGTTATCCTCAGACGTCCACTGTACGATCGTAAGTGTAACGCAATCAACAACGACCAGGAAAATGATGACGCGTTTGTAAATCTTTGACTGCGTTGTGTCGAAGAGAAAAGAACGGATTCCTTCGCTGTCTGGTCTGCGCGCGAGATGCAGAGGCTGAGCAAGTCGAAGACGTTTCTTGAGATCTTGCCAGCGTCGCTGATCCACAGTAAGTAACGCAATGCCTTTGTTCGCATTGAAATTCATGACAATCACGCCCACGAAGAGAGTCAAGCCGATCATGCTACCTAAGAGGACGTAGATGTGAACATAGATACTGTATTCCGGTGCCACGACTGCTTTGATCACATTCCGAACTTCCAGCCACCCTTCCAACGAGAGAACCTCAAACAGAGCTAAAAATGCGTGCAGCACGTCGTCAAAGTCGAAATTTCTTGGGTTCTTCCACACACGCGGGACGGTAATCCTTGAACTGCCTTGCAAGTCACGCAACTCACGGGGAGGTGCTATGTCGATCACAAAAGTCCCTTTGCACTCAGATTTTTCCTTGATTCTTTGATCATTACAGCTTCCAAACTTGCCAGAAAACACTTGGACTCCATAGCTAGCAAAAATAAACATGACCATGAACTGTACAGCGCTTACTTTGAGGATTTCTTTATAGCCACCAACAAGTTCTAGGATCACTTTTTGCATCTTTGGGACCAAAGTGACGATCCTCAAGGGTCGAAGGCACCTTAATACCATCAACACTTGAGCCCCCGAACGGGCGGGTATGGAGTGTGGTTGCCAGGCAACGTAAGCAAGGGCAACAAAGTAGATAAATACGTCGAGCAAGCCACCAAAGTTTTGGATGACAGCTTTGGGGGTAAAAAATAAACCGTTGGCAAGAATACGCATGCCAAGCTCTAAGCTCATTGCAACAACGAAAATGTATTCGATCACTTCCGTCCAAAATCTGCCGAAGGTTCGTTTGGTTGGCGTCTCAAACATCATAGCCACGCAGGACATCACTGTGACAAAAATCATGAACCATTCTAAGTACGTCTGTGAAGCTAAACATTTGTAGAGACGTTCCAACGTAAAGATATGATTGCGTGACGCGCGTTCTCTGTGCCCGGGTGGAATTGTGTAACGTGCGCTCACTATGTTTTGGAGAAACTGTCTCAGCCATGATTCACGCTGCAGAGAGAAAAGCGGCTGGTCAAAGTATGGATGGTTTTCGCGTAATTTCTCTTCTTGAGCTTCTCTCTTTCTTTGAGCTTCTTCTCTTTTGACCCGAACCCACTGAATATCAAAATCTCTGCCAATGTTACTGTTGTCGTCTTGATTTATCTGTGAGTGAAGCCCGGTCGCCTGACTCGCCATTCTCATCACCTGCTTCACTCCGCCCTGGGGGGCTGGCCTCGGAGACTGCGGTTGGCGATTTCGGAAACGCCTCGAGGCTGATCGGAAACCTTTATTAGTCGCTGCAGTTACCTGCTTGTTTCCGCCCGGGATGGCACCTCGCGAAGAAATTTCGGTTGGCGACAGCAGCGCATGGGATCTCTGGCGATTTGAGTCATTGATGAGAGCTGTGATACTGGACTGTTTTCTGACAAACTTTGAAAGCTTATCCACTTCGGAGATTGTTGAGTTCAACAGTTTAACTGGAATTGCAGTCCGCCGCCTTCTTAGCTGTGAATCATCTCCAATGTGAAGTCTTGGGTCGTCGCTCATGGGAAAGTCCAAATTTGTACAGTCAATAAACTTTTTCATGAAACTATCACGAATCTTCGGAGTGGCGAAATCCGAAGCCATTTTAATCCGACTCATTTTCACCAATCGCGGGTCGTCACGGAAACGCTCGAAGACACGAAGGCGTCTCGGCAGAGCTTCGGTGTAATCTCTCGAGTCACCGCCCATCTTCTTTTGTTTCATGATCTTGACTTCTTCATCAAGTTCTAAATTGTCCAGGATAACTGCGACAAATACGCTCATGATGATAAGAGAAGAAAATAAATGAACAGCTAGGATGACTATGATAACAAAGAATTTGGCGCCCCAGTTTTCTGCCTGATGAACTAAGTCGTCCAAAATTTCAACCCATCCTTCCTGGGTAATAATTTGGAACATAGACTGAACAGCTCGCATGAAGGTACCAAAGTTTTTCCGGTCCAATGTCAGAAAAAATTGCATGCTTATAACTGAGGAAACCATCACAAACAAAAGAGTGAATACGATCGCGCTTCCTAGTTTCTTCCCAGTTCCGAAAATTTTCTCACAGAATTCTTGGAGCGTAGGAACTGCTCCAATTAGACGAACGACCCTCATCACGTTGAAAACGGCTAAGAAAACGGCTTTTTCTGTGATCAGGATCGGCAGAGCAAACACAGTACTTCCAACAGCCAGAACAAATTCTGTGAGCTGCATACGGCTGACAAGGAACGGTCGAAATCCCATGCAAGTAATCTTCAAGAGAACTTCCAAGTCGAATACTATGGTGAAGCCAAACTGGGCGTATCTGCGCCAGGAGTATGGAGAGCTTGCCTGTACAAGAGCGTCAACTAAAACGAGGAACCACATTGTATACTTGAAGTAAACCGAATGAACAATTTGTCGAACAAGCAAGGGGGCATGGCCTTTTGCAGCTTCGTGATCTACCGAGACAAGATGCCATCCGGTTCCACCGTCTTTAATGACTTGAGAAGCGAGCCGAGCCGAAGTTCGCTTCGATGATTTCCGAGCATACATGTACAGGCTCCGAACATCAGCGAAGGTTTCCGAGACGACAGCGATGAAGACGTTCTTGACTAACCAAGCGACGAAGAAAATTAGCAACACGAAGTAAACAACGACCAGGGCACGCCATCGAAAATCCATCATTCGATACATCACAAGCACCCAGCCTTCTTGTGTAGAACTCTCATACACAGTTAAAATACTATGCAGAAAGTTTCCAAAATAATCTTTATCCGCCGCTTTGCCCATCTGTTTGAAATCCACATGAACACAGTTAAATCCGCTAGGGCAAAAATATCCTTCGACGCCACTTGCGTTATTGCACCTGTGATCGGTCAGCAAGATATCATTGTAGGTTACGTTATTTAAATCAGTGCCGCTTTTAACGCAGTAAAAGTTTTTGCGCCCGAATAACTGAACACCAATTATCGATCCGAACGCCATGAAATATAACAAAAACAATGTCACAGCCCAGATTTGTCGCTTACACCGGCGCGCGACCGACTTCGGCATGTTTATAGTTATGAGTACATTAAAAAATCGTATTATAATGAGAGCTCTTGGAGCTCTAGGAACAGAGAAACCAGCGTACTCGTGTATGCGTTCTGGAGAATTATTATAAACAAAACCGCCAGATAATTCCACAATTTGCAAAACGATAGAGAGCAATATTAGAAGAAGCATACTCGCATTAAAAATACATTGTGGTCGCTTGAAGTATGCCTTCTGTTTTCTCCATAGCCCCCACATATTGACTTGTGCTATCATTTCAGTGGTAAAAACAACTGCAACCACAATGTCAAGTATCAGAGTTAGGTAATTCAGTCCATGATGCGATGCTTTAAACGTCTCAGGTGAATTCATTGCGGTTGATATCAAACTGACAACAGCGCAAACTTGAACGAGTCGTTGAAACCACCAAGTTTTCACCCACCACGTTCGCGATATATCCTCATTTTCTTCGTCATCTGATCCCAAAGATTCGGCGTATGCTTGGCGAGGCGGCCATAAAGATGTTGAAGAAGAATGATGGTCAGATTCAACTTGAACAGCCGACTGTCCTCTTGCCTCCATTTTGTTGTTGAATGATTGTTATATTCGCAGCGGAAACAAGATAGGCAAATTAGTTCCGCAAACACGAGAATTCCGAGCATAGCCGATTAGTTCCCGAAGGACTGCGACTCCCGACCACAATAAGAGAAAATATAAAATAAAGTATTAAATAAAAAGGTCATCATTACGATTAATTAATGGTTGAAAACGTTTTAAATTTTAATTGAACTCACACCTGCTTTTCACTTAAAATTATCACGTGCATGAAGGGATAATTTACGAAGACCGATCTTATATCGATTTACCTTGTTGTTTTGTTATTGTTGCACCACTGAGAGTCTGCGTTGCTCAGCTGGTTTGCAATATTTTGCACGAGGAAGATCCATTGTTCAGCTAATTTCGGCTAGTGTAAGCTTAAAGATACATACTCTGTTGCGATTGAGTTTTCTGTAACCAAAATGTGGAAATACAGAACAAAATTCATCGCTCGCTTGTTTGGGGCGAAGTCTGTTTTACGACCGGTCGCTTCTTCAAGTTCGTGCATTTCACGCTACTCTTCAAGGGCACCTTACAGTACTAGTACAAGCGACCGAAACAAGTTCCTTTTCACTTCAGAGTCTGTTTGTCCAGGACATGCTGATAAAATGTGTGATCAGATTTCCGATGCCATTTTGGATGCTCATTTAGAACAAGATCCCTTTGCAAAAGTTGCTTGCGAAACTGCAACCAAGACTGGAATGGTGATGGCTTTTGGGGAAATCACCTCGTCAGCACGAGTAGATTATCAAGCCGTGATACGAAACACCGTTAAAGAAATTGGCTACGATGATTCTTCCAAAGGCTTTGACTACAAAACGTGCAGTGTTTTGTTATCGCTCGAGGAGCAAGTTGGGGAGATTGCCCGAAGCGTGCATTTAAACAAGAAAGAGTTGGAAGTTGGGGCCGGCGACCAAGGTTTAATGTTTGGCTATGCAACTGATGAAACTGAAGAGTTAATGCCTCTTACAACTGTACTGTCCCACAAACTGACTAAAAAACTTAGAGACTGCAGAGTGGATGGGACTTTGCCGTGGCTAAGACCGGATGGAAAAACTCAGGTGACTGTGGAGTATAGTATGAAAGGTGGTGCATGTGTCCCACAGCGGGTGCACACCGTTTTGATCTCCAGCCAGCATGCAGATGGAGTACCAGTGGAGGAAATTCGACACCATTTCAAAGAGACTGTCATAAAAGGTGTCATCCCTGAAAAATACCTGGATGAAAGAACTGTTTTCCATCTACTACCCTCTGGGCAATTTCTTTATGGGGGTCCCATGGGTGATGCCGGCCTTACTGGTCGCAAAATTATTGTAGATACATATGGGGGGTGGGGTGCACACGGAGGCGGGGCCTTCTCGGGAAAAGATGCAACTAAGGTGGATAGATCGGCAAGTTATGCGTGCAGGTGGATTGCAAAGTCATTAGTTGCGGCAGGGCTTTGTAGGCGCGTTTTAGTGCAAGTAGCGTATGCAATAAGCATCCCTGAGCCCTTGTCAGTTTCTGTCTTCAGCTATGGAAGCAGTGAGTTGCCTGATGATGAGCTTCTAAGAATTATTCAGAAGAATTTTGATCTCAGGCCCGGTGCAATCATCAGGGACCTTGATCTGCGTAAACCCATTTTCAACGCCACCAGTGTCTTTGGCCATTTCAAGCCTGGTTTTCTGTGGGAGGAGCCAAAAAAATTGGACTTTTAATGGTAAAACCAAACCACATGTATGTGAGTGTACCACTATCATATCATTATGTTTCATAGCCCAGTGGGCCATTCAAATAAGTTTTCGATATCTATTCGTATAAAAAAAGAAAAAAACATTGATTTATCTTTCTGAAGTTATTTGGGTCATGAATGAGGGATGAAACCCATACAGTAACTTGAAAACTAAATTCAATAACTGTCCTAGTTTTTTAAAAAATATATATTGATGATTTATTTAGCACCAGGATCTAGAACAGAGTTTAGTGAAAAAATTGAAAAGAAAATTTAAAACTAAGTTTTGTAAGTAAGTCTTTTTAAGAGGTTATGAGAATTACTGTATTTTAGAGTAGGATGTTTGGGGTCTGTTTAAACAGTGCAAAGACATAAGATGATTCTTTGTACTGAAAAGTCAGAAAACTTTATAGATTTGAGTGTTTATAGGGAAATGTATTGTTTCAGAAAATAGTTAGACCTTCACACTCCTTTTTTGGGTTATGACCTGCACAGCAGGTGAAATTTTCAGTCCAGAGATAGTATGGAGTCTCTCTGAAACTGCACACTTTTGTTGAGAGTATGATTTTATAGTGGTTTAGTCAGGAGTAGGGCGAGGGGTAGGTATTACAAAAAGGTTTTTGGCTCTTGCACCATGTTTCATACCCTTCTTGCACAGGAATACTAAGTTATCACACAGGCTAGCCAGGATAGGCTAGTGATCCCTTTATTTATAGTCAATTTGCAACAACAACAAAAAATTCCCTTTTTCTGGTTTTTTTACCTTACTGGTCAACATTGTGAATTTTCCATGATTTCTCATGGATTTTGTAAATCAAGATGTCATTTTATTTCGTATTTTTTCATTTTGATAGTAACACTTCATATGCACAAGCAGCTCATTTAGAGACACTACAGTTGACTTTTTTTAAAATCTGATGATAAACTGAAACTATCAACAATTGTAAACTATCCCACTTGTCATTAAAAAGTGGATTTATAATTTAATGTCTCTTCATTGTCCTTTTTCATGAGTACTGTCAGGCTTAGCCTGCATAGCTAGCGGGATAAGCATGGGAGTGCTGTATTGTTTTTTGGCGACGGAGCCTCAAGAAGGGTGGGTATACAAGTCAAGTCAAGTCAAAAATCCCTCATGGCTTCGCCGTTCACTTCACATCGTGGCTTCATCACCAAAAAAGTTCCCTGGGCACAAGAATCCCGACAGCTATGCAGGCTGTGTCAGGCTGGTTAGGGTTCAAAGCATGCAAGGTTTCCCCTTTTCGTAAAATGGATGAAGTACCGCCAGAGAGGAAACCATTCCCCACCCCCCCTCCTGTAGCTGATTATTCCTGAGTGGGGGGCGAAACTTTCACATCATAAATAAAAACGTTACCAGTCTGAGCATGGTTTGAGCTCTAAACAGGCATAAAAACAACAGGGCCGGGTTGTTCGAAGCTGGGTTAAGATAACCTTGGGTTAGTGCGAAGTTTGAACTCAGTTATGACAGGCTTAAAAAGCAAATTCAGGATAATTCACTTTGCCTACAATTTGATTATTGGATACTCTAAAAAGAAGAGAGAAAATTATCCGAGATAGTGCTTTTGATGAAAAGAAAAAGAAACACCGGGTAAAATTTAACCCCGGGTTAGCGCTAAACTGGGCCCAAGGTTACAAAACAGACAACCAAATAAGAGCTATCAAGCTATGGTGTTTTGTAATTGCTATGGAAATGGTGTCATGAGCTTTCTCTGTCATGTGCACACACAACTGTAAGTGATACCTGTATTAGTATATAAAAGAAATATTGGCGAAATATCAGCATTCCTTCCTGAGCATCCCGAATGTATCAAATCTGCCGTATACAGCCCTAGACTAGGCAAGAACTATCATATCCCAGCCCGTTTACATGGGAGTTGCCCCCTCTTGAATGTCTTCCGTCCTGGTAATTTTTTTAAATGATTACGGTGGTGCATTTCGTGTCAAGGCAGTGTTGCTCAAGCGCTACTCCGCGAGTCGGTCCCCGCCCGACGCCCCGCCCACACCCTTGTTTTTCGTCAAGTAACTTCCGGTCAGCAGGCAAAATGGTCACGCATGCTCAATTGGAAGATGTTATGACTGCGAAGGAAAGAGGTGAAGTCATCAAAAATCGACGAAGACAGCAAAATGTTTTCCTATTTTCCCATAAAGGGTTCCTTATAATGAAGGAAGAGAGTGTCATAAAGAGCGCCTGATGCATTTAGAAAACGAAGATGGCGAAAATGTATGATTTATGTCGCTGTTCCCTCGGGCATAGCCATCGGAAATCCTGCATTTCTCCCACACAGATACTCAGCAGTTTTTGGGCAGACTGAGCAAAACGTCTCGAATTTATCTAATATCGACCACACGGGAAGACGCAGGGGAGGCAAAGTCAAGATGCTACACGTATTTCATGTGGACTTGGGAACGGTATACACTTTTGAGATGGAGCTCGCAATGGAAAGGTAAAATCATTCTTGAAATATTCAGAATATGAAAGTGTGTAATTCATGTAAACTTGTTTGGTTCTGCTTGCCCTAGCTAGAAAGCTTATCTATGTAAAACTTTTCGAATACAGATTATAAACAATGTTTCTTTCTTTGAATTGCGTGAATATTTCAGTTGGCACACAAATGTATTAATAGGTGGTTTGTTGATGAAAGTTAATTTTAGAACAAGTGCTAGCTATGAATTGATACTGTAGACGTTAATATTTTAGTTTCGTCAATATTATTTAACTCCACTTTTCTTAATTGGTTTATTATTGTTGACAACTATAAATAATTCTGTGAACATTTTTGGCAAAGCATACGTTTTGTACAAAAATTTTGTTCTTTCAGTTGTGGTTTAATTTTGTTTCACTTGTAGCGTTGTACTTTCCTTCGACTCAGACCATCACCATTATTTAAGATTAAAAAAATAAAACCCTTTTCCAAAATATCTGAATGTCAATTCATCCACCAGCAAGGTAATTATATGGAAATCAATCTAGAGAAGTTGGATAGTGTGGCCTAGAGGGTTTTAAAACATAAACATTCACCTAGTGTACTTGCTGTCTTTAACAGTGTCCAGTTACTTATGAGCACAGTAGCCTCTGTGACTGGAATCCCTGAGGATAAGCAAGTACTGTTGATATCCAGTGGTGAAGCACTTGATCCATCAGAGAGAGTTTGTAGCTACAGCAGTGCTGGAACTGTAAGTAAACTGCAATTCAGTGGTGTTACAGTCAACCTCTTTTAGAGATGCCAGCCTCTGGAAATCTAAAATCTGGAGACTCTCTCTTTTGCATTACCCCCCTGAATATCAACGATTGACCCCCTGACCCTGAACCCCCCCATAAGCACAATTCGATCTAGTCCCTAATCTTACATGAGGTACAGACCATCACAATTAGCTTTTATAAATGTAATGGCGAAATAATCTTTTTCAGTGATGACATACATGCGAAAATGCCCCAGAAACCAAACTTTGAATCAACGAAAATTCGAATTTTGGGAGAAAATGGGATGAATTCCAAATTAAAGCACAGAAAAGCTCATAACTCGATTTTATCTGGGAGATTTGGTGACCTGCACAGGAGTCCGGGAGATTGTTATCATATCCGGGAGATTCCCGGTCAATCCGGGAGAGTTAGCATGTACACTCTTTATAAGATGAACACCTCTCTTAAGTGGCAGTTGGCTCCTACCTTTTTCAGCCAGTTTCTTTGGCTATCAATATAATTATAGTGGACACCTTCCAGGGTTTGTACTGTTCCTTGAAGCCTTTGAACTTATTTTTTATTTTAAGGGTACGTAAATAACCTTAAAAAGGAGAATTTCTGCTTAAAGTGGGTTAAAAGCTGTATCCCATAAAAGATCTCACATGTGAGTAGGCCCACTAGTCAGTAGATGTTATTTTTGATGTCATCTGTAGGCAAAGGAAAGGGCTCTGAAATAATATTGTTATGGCTGTCTGTGCCTTGGATACAGTGAAAAGTGAAGACAGTTCTGGGGGATGATTAGGGCCTGTTTTTCTCTTTGGAGTTTAGGACTCATGGCTAGGTTGCCAGAGTTTGCTAGCCCTAGCCTAGGAGCAACTATTATCTCAAAAAAAATGAGCTGAAACTTTGAAAATAACAAGGGATGCAGCGATTTAGTTGATGTGTATCGAAGATCTTACTTATGTTACTTTTTCCTCTATCTGTGAAGAAAAGAATCAGAACCCTGGTGTACATGTTTTACAAGTGTTTCTGGTTAATACCATCTCCATTTTTTAAGAAAAAGGTTAGGTGACGCACTTGTGGATGAAAATCAAAAATATATTCTTAATCTATTTTTCTAACAGGACACCAACCCAATATTCCTGTTCAGTAAATCCACTATTGAGTCACCTGTACCTCCATCACCTAGCCTTAACCTGGGATCTGGTGAGTACTACATGTATGTTATTTCTATGTTATAGTGGAATTTTTACTAATTTTTCTTTTAATGCAGAGGTTTTAATTTGCGCATGTGCTAATTCCAACCCTTCAGTCACACCCCCACCTGCACTTGCATACTAGGAAAAAGAAACCTGGGTTAAAATTTAACCCAGGGTTAATGCTAATTGGCCCTGGAACCACTGGGCCCAGGTCAATTAAATTCAGGTTCAATTTTTTTAACCTAGGTTGATTCTCAATTTCCTTTGTCTCTTAGCCCTAATCCATGAATAGTTAGGGCTAGGAGACAAAGGAAATTGAGAATCAACCGAGGTTAAAAAATATTAAACTGAGTTTAAATTTGACTTGTAACATTTACACCATAACTGGATACCTTTTTGAGCCGACATAAATAAAACACTATCTGGTACAAAATATATGTGAACACAACAGGCTCACAGAACTGGAACAAGTTGTTTCTGTGTAATGTGAACACAAGTAGTAATTTATGATATTATAGTAGTTTGTAGGTACATTTTTATTGGTTATATTGATAAAATTATTAGAGACCTTAAGATACCCCGAAATCGGTGTACGGGTAACGGGTAGCGCCATGTTTTTTCCATTTTGTGGTGACGTCATCGACCTTGCCCGGTAGAACCAGCCGTTTTTCCGGGGTAGACACCAGTTTACCCGTAGAAGATTTACGAGTAGCTGCAAGTCCTACATGATGGAGAAGCGAGTAAGTTTTTAAGACTTTTTAAGTACAAATGTAAATTGTATGACTTCTTGGCAATGTTATTGCAAGTCTGTTCAAATATTTTTGCCAATTTTGAATTTTAGCTGTAAAGAAAGCGCTTCAAAATGTATAGTGATTTTAGACCTCAAATGTGCAGGTTGAACTCTGAAACGATATCAATTTGTGGCGGTATTTGGGGGGGATTTCTGAGAATTGCTCGAAGGTTTGAGTTTCGCAAAAGAAATAGCATTGAAATATTTAGCATGGGAGCCACTGTTGAAGTTGACAATCAAAGGAATTGTTTGGTGATGTGCCTCGATCAAAATGGCGGGGTTTGCGATAACAAGCTTTCGGTCGAGGGACTTCCCGCCAAGTCTCTTAAAATCTTTCCATGATATTTCAATAAGCTTATGTATGAATCAATTATTTGTTGCAGCTTGTTGTTAAGATATGAAGTGTAGAATTTGAGGGAGATTTTGTATGCATTAAGCGACATGCATGTACGAAGTTCATTTTGCGTGCTTGTTCTTCGGGTATCTTAATCGAAATAGTCATGCACATGAACACTTTACGTGTACGGGTACACTACCCGTACCCATACACCGATACCGGGGTATCTTAAGGTCTCTATTATTGTGAAGGCGGCGTGGCTGAGTGGTCAGCACGTCGGACTCGCAATCCAGTGGTCCCGGGTTCGAATCCCGTTCTGGTCACTGGCTGGATTTGTTCTCGGTCGTCCCGAGTTCAAATTCTGGCCACGCTTGTAAATAGCCAACTGGTTGCCTCCTGCCAGTTGGGGTTTTAAATCATGTTATGTTGTATTTGAATTATTTGTTTTCTAAGTATTTACTGATTGTAAAGCGGTTTGGATCACTAAGAGAAAGGCGCTATATAGGTGTATATTATTATTATTATTGTACTACATTAATTTTTGTTCCTTCCAGAAGCCAATTTAAAGGAGCAAGTTGAAAAGTCCTTTAATCTGCCACCAACTTATGAGACTGTTGTATCTAGAGCTCAGCTAGCAACTGTAAGTGATCTACATGTAAACAATAACATTATGATGGCATTCTACTGTGTAAGCAGAAATGTTACCTCCGAAAAGGAAATGAGAGGGCCAGGAGGAGGCTCTTGATGTTGATAAAATTCTTGTTAAAGGGTAAAGAAGACTGAGTACCCAGACGTGCATTATATAAACGTCCTGTCCCTTAAAAATATTTGCATTAAATCCTTTAGAATTAGCGCTTGGAGTGCTTATTTAATTTTGGTTGTTGAACGAAGGTAATTATTTGAGTGCGGCTCCTTGTGTTCTTGAAATTTCAGCTACAATATAGCATTGTCCTTGTTTCAACTGAAAAAATAACTGATTATTTAAATACGTAATTATACGATAAAAACTGAGAAGTTAACTCTTATCATTTTTAAAATTTTATTTTAGGACTTCCATTCACTAGCAGTGGAGATTGCAGATAACTGTGAAAACCTTGTGTGCGAACAGAAACTGCAACAGAAAGGATGGGCAGCAGTTGTGGCAAACTTAGAGACCATCGCGAGGTATTGCTGCATGGTAGACAAAGAGTGTTTTCTTAAAATAATATTGTGCTTTAGTGCTCTTTTCAAAACCATGCAAACTCTGAAGTTCAAAAGCCGCGTAAAGTTTTTGCTCTTTGCTGTCCTCAAACATCTTTGTGGACCTCTTAGGAAACAGAAGTTTACTTCTACGAGTTTAACAGTTCATGGTTTGTGATTTGTGATTGGTGAATTTTGATCTATTTTATCTAGTTCTGTGTTTCAAGGAATTACTTGTGTATGATTGACAGCAGCTAAAAATGTGCTATATTGTAAGCTGGCTTTTGAAAGTTGTATTTTCTTTATTGGAACAGTGAGTTTAGGTCGAGATCAAGCAGTGTTCACCAAATCTACACGGAATTTCTTGATTCAAGGACAAGATACATAGAGCTTTTAGACAGGTACATCTATTTCTCAAATTTTTTTCAAGGGAATCCTTTGACAGGAGTTGATGAAATGACATTGGTATGTTGATTAATCTTGATACTCCAAATCCATTACAAAATCCAGATGACTTAATGAACAAAAAGATATTGAAGATGAGGATAAGACTGTTCATGGTCTACATTGTAAGGTCATTGAAAATCTATTAGAGGCAAAGGAAAAATAAATCTGGAGAATTTTTTCCGTTCCTGTGAGTTGCAACCCTGGATGCTGTCTCGATAAAGGAACCCCCCTAATTAAAAACATTTAGGCTTTATTATATTTAGCCGTGTCACAGAGGGGGAATTTAACCTCAGTTAATAACGTCTGCGAAGCAGCACTGAAGTCCTTGTTTTGGGACCCTAACGGATGCAACAAAGTGCATTTCAAATTTCTTTTCATCCTGATCAGAAAATAGACAATTGGTTTTTTAACAGGTCAATCATGGCACATACTCAAATGTGGGGGCCCAGAACAGGGATATTCATTTTTGGCACTGTTTCGCAGACAGAGAAGTTAACAGCGTTTAGTTCCACCTGTGGTGCAGGCTTGATTTGATTTTGTTCATAGTTTGTTTGGAATGCTTCCTCCCTTTTAGGTTCAAGCAGATGCTGCCATTGTTAGCCAGAGTACCTGTTTTACCTTGCCTAATCACTAGACAGCTGTTTAAGGACAGGCTGCAAGGTGGATTCAGTCTCTTAGACTGGATTAGTGCACAGGTAACCCATGCTTGGTAGAGTGTTTGTTCTTTGTACTGGTGAAAGCTTTAATAATTCCTTAGAGGGGGAATGTGAGACTTACTTGTTAAGAAATTTCAATATCATTGAAAGAGTTACAGGATATTTAACAATTATTCCTTGAACTTGAATGGGCTCGGAGTCAATAGCTGATGAGGCACTCAAAGGCCATGAGGGCAAGAGGAATAATTATTGTTTTAGTAAAATCCAACTAGGTGGTCAAAAATATCGAGACAAAACAACTTTAGCTAGCAAAACGCGATTCAACCGCCATTGTTTCGGTTTTCAAAGCCTGGGGTTTTCACTACTAGTGGGCTATAACATATAGCCTAGTAGTAGTTCAACCAATCAGAACACAGCGTTGGTAAAAGACCGCTAGTTGGATTTTACTAAAATAATTTATTATTGTGGATATAAATTTTAAAAAAATATTGATGTACTTTGAGTACAATGAAGTGTATGGAGTTGTTGTTATTAAAAGTTGATTCTTTTGGTTAGGATAACAAGAACAGTCTCCAGGATATGGTTAAACAGTGTATCGAGGCAGTTGAGCAGGTAAACAGAAAAAGAAACAAATGGAAAAGGGATCTTTGTTTTGTTCTTCTTTTTAAAGAGGAGATTTTTAGCATAATTCGGAATGGTGATGTGTTCAGAATCTTGTGTTCAAAGAAAGTACATGTACAATACTTGGTGAAAAAAAGAAGGCAACTTGAAGTGAAATCTTGAAGCTTTTAAGAATTAACAAGTATTGTACAGTTGTTTATGTTGTTAGTAATGTTGGAATCTGAGTGTACTTACTGTGGTATCCTTAATTTTTCAGTTTGATGAATCTCATCTCAGTGAAATCACTGGGGAGGTAAATCAAGTGTTAGGTAAGTGCTTCTAAGTATCTTTCTAACATTGTACTTTATTCAAATCTTTCTCCATCAAAGACATCCTCTATTGCTCCACCTGCCCTCAGCTGTCAGATGGCACTTAAACATTTGTTGCATCTTACAAGTCATACAAAATATAGGTTCCTCTAAAAGGCATTAACCCCGGGGGTGGGGGGTAATCCCCATTATGGGCTACCGGGCTATACAGGTATGTGCTGCTTAACAGGGTACATGCTTTTTGCCTGTCTGGCTCAGACTGTCTGACTCTGGAACAGAATATGAAAATTACCCTTTATGTTTGAAAGAGGGATAGATTAATTTTACCTCAGTTTGACTCTGGAACAGGGTCAGTTTTTTCCCTATGATGCCTGATTATTCCCAATCAAGCTTACATGTATATAGGTGCGAAACTGCACTTCCCTTGTTTTTCATCACTAAGCCAGCCATATGAACAGGCTTTCTATTTTTACAATATTATTGTCTGGAACAGGGTTGCTAATTCATCTGGAAAAGGACCAGAATGTCAATGACTCAACAGACCCCATAAGAAAAAAAAATGGGATTACTCACTTCCAGTCCCCAGACATTAACCATCCTGTGTGTGGCCAAGTGGTTAACACCTTGAACTCCGGATGTGAAGGTCCAGGATTCCAGGGTTCAAGCCTCACCTGTTGCGTTGTTTCCTTAGACAGGGAACTTTACTCCACTTTTTCTCTCTTCATCTAGCTAGGTGTATAAATGGGTACTAGCGACATACTGCTGGGGGCGGGGAGGGGGGGGAACCCTGCAATGGACTAGGATCCCATCCAAGGGGGAATAGCAATACTCCTAGGCATGCCTCATGCTAGGGAAACCAGGATAAGGTCAGGCCGTTTGGGCCTTTGGCTTGTGTGTGCCTTCACCTTACCCTTTTACCTTTGGCTATAAAGAAATTAGAAGGTCTTTGTCTACTGGGACACTTAATCAAGGTATATGTCATTTGACATGTTTTAATCTTTTCAAACCAGAATCTCTTGACAACACTAACATGAAAGAGATAAAAGGATTGGATGAAAGACTAGCAGGACTCCAGCAGCTTCTTCAGAATGTTCAGACCTTGACACAGTCACAGGCAGATATGGCTCAGGGTTTTCAGCAGAACCAAGCTCGAGCGCAGAATATTGGTGACCCCTCGGTGCTTCCTGATCTTTGTGCTAGTCACCAGAAACAGCTTAAGATGCTGATGAAGAATCATTCACTTTTGAGGTGAGCTCAGTGTATTCCAGTAGGCTTTGATGTAGTCCATACAGTCACAGTGTGCAAAAAGAGTCATGTCCAATAAGCCGCAGCTATTGGATTTTGCAATCTGGCTTATGCACCATTCTCAGCATTTCTTGTATCTTCACCAGACTAAGACTTTTCCAAAACTGTCGCACGTTTTGCGCAAATTCATGAGTCTGGCTAATTTCACTCAAGATAGCGTCGGCCGAAAAGTCAACCTTTTGCTTTTTGGACGCCATCTTGGAAGGGCCTGGGAACAACAACACGCTATACGCTACTATGCCACTATGCTACTACCATACAACCCACTTATAACAACCTACCTTTTATTTTTTATACTATGTAACTATGAGTAGTAGAACTGTAGTTTCAAAAATCTACCTCTATCATAAAACATGCCTCTCACGATCTGGCTCACTAGTAAATTCTGTTCTCAACTTGCCCATTGGGTTGATCTCAAGAGAGCTGGGTAACATCTGTAGAAAGCTTTTTGTGTTGTTATTAGTTCTACCGAGACAATTCTTTTGATGAAAAGTGTCTTTTTTATTCAAGGGATGTAAGGAAAAGATGTGCAAAAGCCAAAGATGAACTGTCTACTAATCTCCACACTAGACTAAGGTATTATTAAAATATTATGTTTGAAGAATAAGAACTTAGCATGTACATGGTATTCTTTAAAAGTAAGTGATATGGAGTATCTGTTCAAAATTAAAGAGCCTCATGAAAATAAATTCAGGATTAGAGTTATCTGAACTTCAAACAGCTCAGCAAGCTCAGCCCTGATAACTTGTCGTCGGTGATTCTAATAATAATTACGACCACCTACATATGTGTATGAATTGTGTTACAACCGTTTGGCTGTGTGTCTGTAGTTTTCCTTTCTTCATTAATGAAATAAAAATTTACTTGGCCTTGCAGGTGGATTATGTATGTGGAAAAGAAAATATGTGACTGTGACGGCACTGTAATAATGTACCATGAAAATATCAGAAGAATCAAAAGAAGGTTAGTATTAGTAGAGCAACGCACCGGCAACGCGGAGGTCACGGGTTTGAATCCCGTTGAAGCCCTGATTTTTTTCAGGCTTCTTCTTTCCAATTGCTTAAATTGGAAAATTTAGTGCGATGATCATTCTTCACTTTCATCTATAACCGCAGTTCAAAAATGAATTATTTCATATATACTTCACATTAGTAGAACAGTTTAAATGACTCACAAGACTGTGCAAAATCTATATTCAGGTGACAGTTTCTAGCAGTTCTCATTTTTAGAGTCAAGTTTACAGCAAATGGCAACTGTGAATTGCACCATGTCACCAAGTTTTCCTTAAACTTATACTTTACTGTTCATTACTTCTACCCCAAAAGTAGTATCTTCAAGTTAGTTTGTCTATTGTGAGGTTTTTGTTTTGGACTGTTTTTAGCTGAACTTGTTCTATTTTGAAAAATTCTCAACTTGAATGTGACATTTGCCGATTGCGGTAAACATCACTCCAAATCTCTCTATAATTATTATCATAATTATGTGTACAAATCATGCTGTACATGCACATACTACAACATAATCTTGTTCAGTTTTTATCCTAGTTATTATTATACTATGGATAATGTTTCAGGCTGGAAATCATTGAGCAAGTAAATGAAGCACCGCGAATTTACACCTTAGCGGTGGCTGAAGTGGTCAGAAGGAGATCTTTTTCCTCACAGTTTCAAAAGGTACGGAATGCATTTGGTTTTACAAGTCAATAATCAGAGTTTAATATCATCAACCAATGTTACTCAACATAGGTTGACTGTAATAGTGACCTCTGCACAGGTTTTCAAATCATCGGTTACTCAAACTTCAGTCCTATATTTAGGAGTACACTTACCCAGCTGAACATTATTATTCCACCTAGTAGGTCTTATGAAATGACTAGCTCAGACTGGGCTTAAACCATTTAGAATGTATAAGGTTACAACTGCCTCAGAACTTACAAAGGCCCTTCCTTGAATTAACTTTCCAAACAAGTTGTTTATAGTCTATCCTCTTAAATCTGGAAAATATTAATTTCACTGTAGTAAAGGCTCATGTAATGTTGTTTTTTGTTTTTCTGCATAGTGGGCAAGCAAGTTATGTGAGGTATCCGTCCAGGCAAGATCAGAGGAAACTGCAAGGAGAGAGGAGTTTGATGTACAGTTTGGTAATTATTAACTGAAACTATTATGCATCTGTTTATTCTCTTGGTTAACTTCTATTTATAAACTGGGTCAAGGACCCACCAGTTTCCATGTAATTTTCAAGTTCCTTAAAGGACATTTTTCAGAGTTCTTTTTTTAGGTAGTGGATGAGAAGCTGCACTTAGCATGTTTTTTGAGAGGGTTTTTAATTAATAGAAGCTGAAAAAAATAGGTGTAATTTATGTAATATGGAAGAAACAACTGAAGATAACTTGTGTTTCTGTAAATAATGCGTAGCATCATTATAAAATAAGGACCCTTTTAGTGTCAGTATTTTTACAAAACATAGAAAAAACCAAAGAGTAAAAGCTGTGGACAATGCATTGGTTGAAGATCACAAAGATTATAAATATTTCCAAAACAGTGCTCTTAGATACCAACTTTGGCCTTCGTTTTCTTGGCTTATATTTAATGAAAATGCTTCATTTTTGGAATTTGAGTTCAGGTTAAGAGTACATTTCAAATAAGCAACTTTATAAGCATGATCATTTTTTGACTTTATAGCAGTTCTAAATATACCTTAAAATAATGTCAATTTCGGATGCAAAATACTTGTGCTCTTACTAATGGGAAAGTCCGCATGAATTTGAAGTCGCGAAGTGGAACTTCATTTCACACTTTTCTATTGGTTAAAAAGGCGCACGTGATGATGGAATTCACTCGGTGGGGAGACTGGTAACCAGTATAGCCCAACCAACAAACATGGCGGGTGATTTTGCTCGGTGATCTATAGTTTAGTGATTTGAAAAAAGCGCTCTTTTTCAGAGCTGAATAAAATATTCCAACGCTTTTGAGGTGTAAGCAGCGAGAGGAAAAATTTGTAGTATTTTTTCAAGAAACGATGACCTTTTATTAGGCAAAGCTGTGATGAAAAATGTGTTGTGGACATGTTTGGAAAGCTCAGGTATAAGAAGTTGCACTTTGAATATCAAGCTTTCAGTATCATGCTTACTGTAGATAATTGTTTTGTTCAAGATTTAAGTCGCAATAAATGTTGTATATAGGTGCTGGTTAATGTCAAGAAATCCTTGTTGTTATCTGCAATTAAAGAAATGATTATTAAAATTCAAGCTGTTCATTACCTTTGAACACTGATTGTTTTTCCTAAAAATAAGCCAATGTTCTCAAGTTAACAGTGACTTTAAAATTTTTGGAATTATTGAGAATTCCTGGGAATTCCCATAAAATTAATTCTCGTCAGTGTTTTCGCAATTCCCAATAATTCCCATAAATTCCAAAGACAGTTTCCTCCAAACTTGGAATTATTGGGAATTCCTAGGAATTCCCTAAATTTTCACCTATTCCCAAGTATTCCCAAATATTTCAAGGTTTTTTATCTTTCCTCATTTGCATGTCTTGGAATAAATTGGAATTCCTAGGAATTCCCAGAACTCTATGAATTCATTTTGCAAGGGATTGGTTCTGTTTGCCTTCAGGCATTTAATGAATATCTCATGTTATTTATGAATATAATGAGAACTTAATTATTCAGTAATATGACTAACCTTTCTATTTTCCTTTAGGGCAGCACTTCTTGCAGAATCTTTTTGGTGGTCTGGGCGACAGGCCCTCTAAATTTTCTGAAAAACCTCCAAGACCCTTTGATGAACAGCTCCCCATTATTACAGAAAGAGATTTTCAGGAACTACAGGAACAGATCCCAGAATTAGCTGCCTATTTGGAGACTAGCTCTGTTAATGTCTCTATGAAAGATGAAACTGGCAAAGAAAGTTGCCTACAAATGGAAGAGCTTGAAAGTCTAAACACTTCGTCTCAGTTGCGGGGTTTGTTAGGACGCAGAACTAGTGATGGTGTGGGAGACCAGAAAACTGCATCATTTGCGGAAATGTCTTCATCTGAAAAGGCCACTCAAATGAGTTTGGATGCTTCCACAAAAGTTGAATGGTCTTGCGAGAAAGAGGAAAAAACTCCTGTACAAGAACTGCAAGGAAATCAATTCTATTCTACTATAGGCATACCAGTTGTTAGCGAAGTGACAAATGTGGGAAAAGATACTATTAGAGAAGAGACTTCACAGTGTGCAGATGATGATAAAACCAAGGAGCGGAAAAAAAGTAGTAGTGATAGTGCCTCTGAAAAAAGCTCAGGCCTAGATGAAGATAGTGATTCGGTTTTCAGATCAGCACATGAAGACTATGTGACTGTTTTTGGTGCAGATTTGGCTGTCAATCTGAGTGAAAACAATCTCCGCCCAGATTTTCAACCAGTAGGGGTGCTTCAGGAGGATTGCACGACACTTCTTGATGATGCCAGTCAGACGACAACCCTGGCTAGTTCTGGTTCTCAAAGTTTAACTGATCACAGCACTCAAACAGAGCATAGCTCTGATAGTAATTTGCTGATAACAGAGTCTGGCTCACAAGAGTCTTGTGGGAAAGGATCCCTAGACGTTGAACGTGTTGAGAGAACTGATCAGCCCATGGTGAATGAAATGGTTGAAAGATTGAAACATGTAGAGGAGAAGTTAAGGACGACTCAAGAATCTTTAGAAAGTGTTAGTTCTCAGAGAGAGAAACTACATCATGTGGATGCGAAAGTTAGAGATTCTCTCAAGCAAGAGTTCGCGGTTTTTCGTCAGTGTCTTAATGAATGTAAGAAAGTTATAATAGATTTGGAATCAAAGATGAAAGAGGATGTTTTGATTGCTGTTGCTAGTGTACAGGAAAAGGGAGATTTTTTCAGGGAAAATGTTAGTGGAATTGTAAGCAGAAGAACTAGAGACGAATTTGAGAAAGAACTTGCACAATTCAGTTCACAGTTGGAACAAGAGAGAAATATATTCCAAGAGGTGAAATCAAAACTTGAGATGGAGAAAAGTAAGCTGTTGGAAGAGCTTAAACAATTACAGACTGAAAAGGAAACAACTGAATCTTTGCACAAAGAGGAAATGCAAAAACTGAGTTTGGTTTTGAATGAATTCAAATCCAAACTCGATGAGCATGAGGGAGCTGCACAGAAACTTCAGGAGAGTAAATCACGTTATGAGGAAGATCAACAAATAAGGTTTAATGCTATAATGATGAAACTGAAGCGAGAGAAAGAGAGTGCCTTGTTTCAAGCACAGGAAAAGATTAAGGAGCTAACTCAATGCGTACAGGAACAAGAGGAAAATTTAAAATCCGTCATGATGGAAAAGGAGAAGGTAACAGGAGAATATGAACAGGCACATGGTGCTTTCCTTGTACGGGAGCAAGAACTTTTGGCAGGTAAAATTTAAATTTTCTCTTTCAAATGGTAGTGTGGGTTCTTCTTGTGTCCCCTTCACAGCCACTGATCTTACAAGGGGTACTTACCATTTGCACATGGGAAAACCAGAAATTCTGGTTGGATAATCAAATGATTCCTGCCATTCCATTCGAGATGCTTCAGAAAATATGGTCTATGAATTAAGGCAATGCATTTAGAAAAAAAAATTGTAAATTGCTTTTTTACCCACAAAGCACTTAAGAGTTCATATGAACTCGTTTAAACGTGTCCATGCATTCCAGATTGAATTGGAATTTGGAAGTGTTGGTTTTTCAGGAGAGGAGAAAACTGGAGTACCCAGAGAAAAACCTCTTGCAGCAAAGGGGTCATGCTCCCATTTTGGCAAATTTTATAGTTTCACATTTATGCAGAAGATTTCCCCCAGGTGTTTTGTGTAAATGGTAAGCATCCCAGATTTTTGTAATGACCTTGGTTGGTTGTCTAGTCGGGTTGGATCCTGAGCCTTACAGTGCAGCATTCCAACTGAGATAAGTGGGAGTCAGTTAAGGACAATTTCACCCTTTGGTTCTAACTTTCATTGAATTTTGGTTGTCAGCTCTTCAGGAAAGAGAATCAAAGCTTCAAGAAAGTGAAATTCTACTGCAGAAAAAACAGGCAGAATTCATGGAGCAGATTGAACAAGAGAAAGCGTCGACACTAGCACTTCTGCAAGTTGAGCGACAAATGTGGGAAGCAAAGAGAAACAAGCAAGCTGTAGGAAAAGAACAGGAACCTGAGTAAGGGAACTTTTTTGGAAAGTCTTTAATATGCTTCCTTGTTTATTTTGAATTTAGGTTGCTCTTGCCTTCTCTTATCATTTGAAGACTGGCTGCCATGTTGTCTGATTTTGTGTATCTGTTATAGGTCGAATGAGATTTCAGGTTAATTTTGACTCAACTCAAGTAGATTTTCGATTTCCTTTCTTGTACTCTTAGGAGATAAAAGAAATTGGGAGGCAACCTAGGTTAAAAAGTGTTAACCTGAAATCAAATGACCTGTAACTTGTCCATCCTTCTGGAAATTCAATTCCACTGTCCCTGTTAATAATGCTCTCATGGTCTTCAGTGGCTGACCTTTTAATGCTACGAGAGTAACAGTGATATTTTTAGCCAATAAACTCAACCTAACCCTGAGGAAGATGATACAGGTCAAAATTGAATTCTGGTTAAAATTTTCTTAGGTTGATTCTCAATTTCCAGCTAGGTGGTATTCTTAACCTTGTTTTGTTTATTTCAGTTATTTGTTTCTGTCCTAATTTGCGGGTCACATAGATAAACTACTGGGTTACCACTATAAAGTTAATTTTTTTAAAATTTTTTTCCTCAATTTTTATATTAATTTTACTGATGTTGCATTTGACTCTGCAGGTGTGCTACTGATGCAGTTCTGGAGGAAGACTATCAACAGAGGATTAAACTCTTGGAAGAGGTGAGAAAAATTTTGGTCACCTTCCAGGTTTCTGCCACAGGTTAGAGAAGAGAGGTCTACTAAAGTTTGAGTTTGGATGAGCATTATTTTGGAAGGAAACAAATTAGACAGAGACAAAAAAACCGTTACCTTCAGATTGAACCTCTGTAGTATGGTCACTTAAATAAGTGTCTCCATCACAGAAATAACTGCATTAAACAGGCAACCATTGTTTGAATTATGTTATCCATGGGACCAAGAGAACTAATTACATAAAGGTGTTTTTCATATCATGGACGGAGGTGACTTGAGGAGAAGTGTTGATATACTTAACTGTTCCTTGAGCCCAAATGGGCTCATGAGGCCGAAGGCTGAATGGGCTATTGACTCAGAGGCTATGAGAGTGAGAGGAATAATTATTGTTTTAGTAAAATCCAACTAGTTGGTCAAAAAAGTAATAAAATTATCAAGACAAAACAACTTAGCTGGCAAAACGTGATTCACCTGCCATTGTGTTGGTTTTCAAAGCCGGCGCTTTTCACTACTAGTGGGCTATAACATATAGTCTAGTAGTTGCTCAACCAATCAGAATGCAGCATTGATGATAGACCACTAGTTGGATTTACTAACAACTGATATTTTGTGGCTTTAATAGGAAAACAGGAGACTCACTGAAAGGCCATCAGGACAAACTGGTATGTTATAGTAATGCTCTGGAGCAGTATCTTTTTGTCATACAGTAGGGAAGATTGTTTTGAGCTTGATTATGACTATGTGTGAAAAAATTGGTTTTCAAACAGACACAAACATAGTTATGCAGCTTTTGGTTGGATAAGTGAATGATCACAAAACATATTCCCAGCTCATGAAAGATTGCTAATTGAAAATTTTTAATTTTCCAACAACATAAACTGGGCTACCTACTGGAAAATTGAATGGTACTTTTCCTATCTTGTGCTTTTCTTTGGGGGCAAAACAATAAAGCCCATTTAATAAAATTTAATAAGCAAATTATTGACAAACACTTACGGAAACCATTTTCACGGTCAAGGTCTTGAGAAGGGGTACACAATATCTGAGGCAACTTAAGTACTTACTAGTCATAAATTAACCAGCAATAATTGATATACAAATAACTAATTGTAAATTGGAAAAGAAATGCGGGAAAACTAATGAAAGAGGGCTATGAGTGGGTAATATTGGGGAAAGCGAAATTTGATTTTTATTCTGTCAACGTTTAAAACGTCTGGCTGGCATCTAGGTGTTTTTTTCAAGTTGGTGGATTTATGGTACTTGGAAATCATTCGCTTGGTTTGTTATTAATTTTGGCAGTGAGTTCTAATTTGCTTGCTTCAAGCTTACCATGTTCATGTAAAGGGTGCAAAGAAAGTCAGTTTAATTTACACACTGCCATTCGGGCAAGCTGTAGATAGCATGTACTAGCCCACAAGTCATTTCAACTAGCCCCAAAACCCTTTTTGATTAGCAGGATTGATTACAATCCTTCTGTTTACTAGAATTTCCCCCAAAAAAAGCACTTGCACGTTGGGCAAGTTAAGAAAAAAAATCACCACTAGCCCCAGGCTATCGGACACAACTTTCTTTGCACGCTGATGTAGTGTCAATAATATTTTGTGCTTAAAGGTGAGCAGCTGATTCCTACAGTGTATATATCTGAGTAGCTAATGCATCAGTTGTTTTCTAGAAACATCATATGATTTGCATGATAAAGTTTATTTCTTTGGCTCAACAGGTGGGGATAGTTCTGTTGAGGATGGTGGAGAACTGCAGCAAGTAAGACCTACAATGTTATACTGGGCCGAGTTGTTCAAAGCCGGGTTGAGATAACCCAGGGTTAGTGCGAGATTTGAATTCAGATTTGAAAGCTTGAAAAGAATTTCAGTTTTAATTCTGTTTGTCTACAAGTTGATGATTGAAAGCTCTAGATATAACAGAGAAAAATCCGAGAAAATGCTTTTGAACACAAGAAGGAGAAACCCTGGTTAATGTAACCCTGGGTTAAGCGCTAATCGGCCTTCGAACAACTGGGCCCTGTTGTTTATACTAGTCGTTGGTTGTTAAATTTGATGATGTCCCACCACTTTAAAGGGATGTGGACTAAAAGGGATAAGTTCATTGCAAAGTAAAATATAAACAGAATAGCAAGTTTGTGCGTTGATCAGTGGATAGTTGTGCTTCCTCCAGCAATTTCTCATTTTGTGGTTTTTACTTTCCCAGATGTCATCCCTTACAACCTGGACAGTTTTGTTTTTCAGTAATATCTGGCTGGAGTTTTGAAAATGTCACTGTGCTTAAGTCCTTGTGGCTCAATCTCTTTTCTTGTTCAAAAAATCGCAAATTTAATATTGTTTACTTCCAAGCACTTTTCCTTCTGTGGTGTGATGTTCAGGCTTGCCATGCCATGAAAACCTCACAATTTGGGCTTAATATAATCCAGTACCCTGTCTGCAATATTTTAATTAGAAGCTGTTGTTTCTCAAAATCCAGTTAGATAGTTTTTAAGGTGAGCATTGTTTAGACAAGCGACAAACTTTTTAATATTGTTTCTTTTTTCTAAGGCTTTGGACTCCAAAGATCAGCAACTTAAAATTCTCCAGCAGCAACTAGTGAGTGGAAAAGACTTTCCTCCCATAAAACAGTTATAATTACAATTTGACAGTGAAATGTGCTAGGACAAATCATCAACAGTACATTGATTTTATGTTTTTACAAGTGAACATTTAAAGAGACTTTTTTAAAACTTTTGAGGGTCTGTTCATGCAATCCTGCAAAGTTTGCTATGACCATTCAGTTGCAACCTCATCAGCAGTACTTTCACATGGTACTAAGTATTCTTTGTCGTATGTTGCCATTGACAACTCTGGAGTCTGTGGATGAAATCCTTTGGTATGACTTTTCAATTAAATACCTTTTAGAGTTACTTGGACACTACGTTTCCAATATTTTAAGAAACAAAGCATGAAAGTTTCCTAAATTTTTATTTTTTTATCTTATAATCATGTTGGGAATAGAAGGGCAAATTACAATAATTATTTATTTCTTTGTGAATTAATTTTTCAGACTGAGATGCAGCAATTAGCAGATGCAGCAGCAGCCTCATCAAAGACAGAGAAACTCCCTCTCACAGAGTAAGACTACAATGCTATCGTAATAAAATTTCAAGTTTGTATGTTCTCATTGATAGTACATACAGTCGAACCTCCCTTAAGCGACCACCCAAAATGGTCACTTATTAAGGAGGTGGTCGCTTACAAGAATTGAACCACAGGGGGCCTCTACGGAGAAGAGGTCCGGGCACATCTACTTTATGGAAGATGATTTATTGCATGCAATTTCTAATTAAGTTAGGCCATGTGTAGTTTCGTGTTGTTACTTAAATTCTTCACATAAGTAGCATAGTGTACAGAGCAAACATAGAGATCAGAGAACAAGTCAAGTGGTCACTTACAAGAGGTTAAAAACAATGGAAAGTCATTAAACTTTCAGGCTCAAAAAGTGGCCGCGGTTGCTTACAGGAGGTGGTTGTTTACTAGAGGTTCCAACTGTAATGCTTTTACTGGGAAAGTTTTGGTGCTTTGGATAGGCGGTCGCTTGAGGGAGGTGGTCGCTTATGAGAGGGGGTTGCACATGGAGGTTCGACTGTACTGAGAATCAAGGTCAAGATAATAAAATGATAATCACTGCCCTGGATAATAGACTCAAGGAAGAATTAGTTTTCTCAAGTTGCCATGGTATCAAAAGTTTTTGGATCTGAACAGTCTGCAGTCCTGCAGATATGGCAAGAAAAAAAGAAAAATTGACCTGAAAAATTTTATTGGGAACAAAAATGACTTTTTCCCTGTGCATGATGGTTTTAGTTGGGTTATGAAAAGCGGCAAAATCAATGATAAAAACAACAGTGTTGCAGTTTATGTTCAAAGCACCGTGAAAGTGCACAATCCTTTGTTTTCTGTTGCATACTTTTCTTCCATTGTCGGAATCGATACAATCAAAAATGAATTCTTTTGAAATGGCCACAAAAACATATAACATGACGGGTTTAACAATTAAACATTACACTCCTCCTCTCTGTTCTTTACATTTTAACAAACCTTCTGCAGCACAATTATGTGATTATTATTTTGTAGTGCTGATATTCAAGGGAAAATGGTTTGAAGGCCTAAAGGTATTAATCTGATCCTGATCGTGGGTTTACTGTAAATGGACAATAATTATAATATGAGTTTTTAATAGAAACTAATCCTTGATTTGTTCTTTTGTTCAGTTTTCAGAGGGGCGATATGATTCTTCTCGTGTTTGATGATCGATATATGAACTATTGTGTATTAAGTACAGGGCAGACCTTGTTTTTCTTACATCCTGATTCTATGGCTGGACTAGATATTGCAACACGTGAGTACCATCAATGAACTCAGTTAAATCCTCAGATTAACATTATGAAAGTGAAGAATGATCATTGCAGTAAATTTTCCAATTTAAGCAATTGGAAAGAAGAAGCCTGAAAAAAAAACTCAGGGCTTCAATGAGATTCGAACCCATGACCTCCGCGTTACTCTACCAACTGAACTATGAAGCCACACATTGGGAGGAGGTTTTTATTGAGTTCATATCTCCTGTGAGGAGTGAAATGATGTGAAGTATAATGAAATAATTCATTTTGAACTGCGGTAGTAGATGAAAGTGAAGAATGATCATCGCAGTAAACTTTCCAATTTAAGCAATTTTCGAATCCCATTGAAGCCCTGATTTTTTTTCAGGCTTCTTCGTTCCAATTGCTTAAATTGGAAAATTTACTGCGATGATCATTCATCAATTTCGCCTACAACTGCAGTTCAAAATGAATTGTTTCATATATACTTCACATCATTAACATTATGCTTTAAAGTAAAACTTTTGTCATTATTGTTATAATAAGTAAGTGTTCAGAATGGCCAGGTCCAAATCGTTAACCCTGGGGAACATACAAGGTGCTTTGTTAACCTGGTTGTCAGTTGAAAGAAAGTTCTCCTATCTAAAATATAATACATGTAAATTTATGCTGCTCCCGGCAACATTCTTTTTTCAAGTTTCCTGGATTTTACTTTATGAGCTTATCTGAATCTTTTTTTTGTTACAATGCACCTATCATGATGATGATGATGATTTTACAATTTAATGATGATATGTATCATTTTCTTTGCAGGTGGCCCTCTAAGAAGGTAAGACTGCACTCAAGTGATGATGTTCTTTCCTCTATAACCTTTAACACTTTCACTCCTTCAGAGGCCAAAAATAAAAAATTCCAAAAAAAATCCAAATTTCTTTTTGTAAAGTCCTGAGAATTAGTATCATTTAAAATACAGTACTGTTAAAGAGGTACGTTTCATTTGAATGGTAACACCAAAAGTTAGACATGACAAATAAAATCATCCCAGCATAAGTCAGTCTATTTCCTTGAATAGGCACTGGGTGCTTATATAAATTGTCGGCTAAAAGAGGTGACACTTGTTGGAAGGAGGGTGCTTAATCAAGGGGTTGCTAATTAACCCTTTAAGCCCAGATATCCACTTACAAATTCTCCAAAATAATAATCATACATCTCCCTTAAGAATTAGTTTGAGAGAATTTGATAATAGATCAAAGCATTTTCCATTTAGTGATCAGTTTTTTAACTCTCATAACCATTATTTTCTCTTGGCAACATATGGGTATTTTTAGGAGAAAATTGATGTTGATCAATATTGGGACTTAAAGGGTTAAGGTTTCCTCCTGTTGTTAATCAATCATACCATAGTCCTGTTATGCAGTTTACACACATATAAATGTTGAAGTTGAAGCTTAAAAAGTTATCAATTACCGGTAAGTGGCAATAAGAAGAGGTTTTCCTTGTATCCTTACTATCTAAGAAAGTGATAGGAAACGGGCAGGGGCATTTATTAGAGAGGGGCGCTTGTTTGATATTTTGGCCTAGGTAGTGGGTGATTATTGGGGGAAGGGTGCATATTAGAGTGTGGGCAATTATTCAAGGAAATAATTTTAGGGTATGTCAGTTCTACATCTGTTTAAGTTTTGCAGCTCCAATATTCATAGTGATTTTTATGTGGCCCACTTCAATATTGGTATTTATTCATTGTGTCATTAGACCATGGGTGTTAGCACAAATGACGGATAAGGAGTATTGTCAAGCTAAAAAGGTATGTCAGGATGGCCTTAAATAATATTTCTATTTTATCAAAGAATCAGCTGGTAGAGAAAGTTTTTGCATAACAAGAATCACTGATTTTTTAGTGAATTCAAGAAAAGAAAAAGGAGAGCCATCTCTTTCCATCTCCTTGGGGCACTCCTTGCCCACCTTGGGTTTACTGTTTTACATTTTTTTTCTTTTCTGCGTCAACCCAATAAGTGGACCCATGTCTTTATTTGAGAGAGTTTTTACTGAGAAGTCTTATAAAATAAATTACAATTTCAGAGGAGGGGGAGGGGTGGGGGTGACCCCTTGGTACCCCTCCAAATCCACCCATACTATAGTGTCAAATAGCAATAATAATAATGAAGACAATGGTTTCATTCAATATTTAGAATTCGGTTCATTGATTACAGGAATTTTCACTTCAGCTTCCTAAAAATCCCGCTGCTGCACAGGCAATTACATCCCTTATTTTGGAAGAGAAAAGTATATCAGTTTATTTATCATCTTCCTAATTTTCTTATTCTACAGCCAAACAACAGGTTTAATGTTCCTGTTGGAACAAAATTTTACAGAATAAAAGCCATACCATGGGAGAGGTAAACACTAAGAACGAGGTCTCACTCTTCCACGAATTTAAGTTTGTTAGAACCCGATCAAGCTGCTGGCATTATTGTTCTTTTCTAGATGTGTGATTATGAAAGGGTGCCTTTCTCAGGTTTCTGCCAATGTTATTGGTACAAAAAGTGGTGTGCCTTTAAAATGTATTGTTAGTTAGGCTTTAAAATTATTATACGTCTGCATATATTTTATAACCATTTGCTATCTTTTCTAGTGTATAAGTACTTTGAAAAATCAATGGAATCAATTTCATTACAGAAAATAATTTACGTGAACAGTAATAGTCAAATTTTATTTAACCCTTACAGCTATTCTATTGGAAGAAAACTATAATCTAAGGAATATGGTGAATGGCTCTTTGTCCCTAGGTGATGTTACTACCGGGTTTGTCCTTCATACAAAAATGTAATACTCAATTCATCCTATAAGAAAGGCACTGTAACATTTTGCTGCAGGGTGCATAAAATTAATTTGTCATTTTTAACAGCTCCGAATCTCAGTAATCTTCTCAACTCTGCCATTAATACATTTTTGCAACATTCTATTAATATTTTGAGTGCAAAGCCTGAATTATTTTTTGGTGAAACATGTTGGGGTTGGTCCTTTTCTACTACTGTTTTGCTTCTGTACAATTTCATATTAAAGAGAGAACGCAGCTTGTAGGGCGAGATTAAGGGGAAAAATTAGCTTTTTGTAGATACCTTTAACCATGACTTATAAAACTAGTTTATTGAATTTTTGCCAAAGTGAAGATGAATGTTATGTTTTCTTCCTTTGAGTGAAGCTAAAAAGTGGGCTTCATGATTGTTTACACCTCTGTAAAAATAGAGAATTGGAATTAAATGAAAATTTTGAAGACTTCTTGGGGTCTGGTGGTGTATGACCAAGTAAATGTTTACCTGGTTATTTTGATGTTTAATGTTTTTTCTTATTGAGTATTGTGGAAATTTCAAATAGCTTATGGCATTGAAGCTGGTTTCTTCTTCTTTATAATATTATAAATAATAATAATGATATTATGATTATTATTACATGTCAAAGCAATACAAATTTCAGTGGATTTGTGGAAAACAGCAATAAAAATAATGAATTCTCATAATTCACTTTGCAATTCTCGGGAAACTATGGGGATACCTAAAATTCCGAAAATAATGTATCGGTCAAATCGAAGCTTCAACATGCCCCAACCCCCCTCCTCCGGGCATTTGACTTTTTTTGGCCAAAATGCCGTTTAAATGCCCCACACTGGGGTCCATTCAGGTGATCAAATGCCCCCACCCCGGGGACATTTCACAGGCACAAAAATGACAGAAGGACGGCGGAAACGCCTTCAGTTGTCGAACAAAATCTTTATAAATATAACAAAAACTGAGAAACACTGTTAGCGTATTTACTACGAACAAAATTCTCGTGCAAAGCGGCAGAAATCGCTGCTACAAGGTCACTGAATGCTCAGCTTTTCTTCGTCATTCAACATACAAAGCGTTCTATAAAAAAGATCCACCTATTGAGATTACTACATCATCATCATCATGACATGCATCATCGCTCACCTTATTAATTAACTTACTTGCAGTAGGTCAAAGTAGTTGACCTGAGCTTTTCATTTTATTTTATTTTATGTTGTTGTATTGAATCGCCGGTAGAGGTATAGAAATACGTTCATACATTCAAAGCCTGAATCCAGTATTAAAAATTTTAAAATTTAAATGCTTCAAATATGCCACAAAGCTTGTTTAAGCCCTTTCCTCGTAAACAATTGGCCACAAAGGCACAATCTTTTCCACGACAATCCTCTAACACCGGGTCCCCCATTGCTCGCCACGCCAAAGATTTTACATGAAATCGAGGATGAGGTTCAAATTCCCCACCCCTAAAGCATGGGGATCAAATTCCCCACCCCCTGGAAGACTCTGATAATCAAATTCCCTCCTCCCCGGGACGGCAAAGGTGTCAAATGCCCGGGGTATGCCCGGGGGGGGGGCATGTTGAAGGTTCGATTTGACCGATACATAAGCCCCTCCATGTATAAGCCCCCTAAACCGGTAATGCGAAAAACCCTCTGTTAAATCGCCCCTCCAAATATAAGCCCCCCTGGGGCTTGTACTTAGAAAATTTCCCTCAAATGCAGAGTAAAACAAAGCAAAAATAGTAAATTTACTTCCAACTATAAGGCTAGCCCAATCGATTTTGAGACGCAAGTTTCCCTCCATAGGTAAGCCCCTCCAAAAATAAGCCCCTCAAAAAGGGCCTTTGAAAAATATAAGCCCCGGCGCTTATTTTCGGAATTTTACTGTAATTAATTCTGTTGTGAGATGAATCACAAAAAGCCTTTTTAATTTGCCATTTGGGGTGAAGCTGGCTTGTTGACACTCTTGATACTTTTTTTGAGGTGTGCTGCCTGTGTATTTAACATCTATTCCCATATTCAGACCAAGTAATATAAGAAGTTTTTCCCTACCTTTTTAAAATTTTCCTTGAATGTGATCAAAACGCACTTTCTTTGATTCTTTCTATGTTTTGTACAAAAATAAACCTGATTATTTTGTATGACAAAATTTAAGTATGACAGGGCAGGATCAACAATGACAACATTTTTGTGGTTATTTATTGTATTTTATTTCTGCTAACTAGTATTTTGTAACACTACAATAATTCATGTACAAGAGTTTCTTTTTGGATTTCCCTCATCCACACAAACAATATTGATCTTTTTGAAGAAAAAGGAACATAATTATCATACCAACAGTATCATATTTTACTTGGAAAAACCCCAAGTTGTTGTGTGTTTCCTTTTTGCTACATTTTATCAAAATGTTCTAAGTTCTACCTACAATAGACACGTATGTTAATATGATAGACTACAAGCTAAGGTCTCTTAGTTAAAGGAAATTTCATGTTCTCTTGTGCTATCTGTGCTGCTCTAAATATTGGGAAAGAAGAAGAGCCGGCACACAGAATGTTTCCCTCTTGTTTTCAATCTCCATGATACGATCACCATTACGGTTTAAACCTGTGCGTTAAAAATGAAAAAGAGGAAATCAAAAATAAGTAGCTTGATAAAATAAGGCCATGCAATGCCACACACATAATTTTGAACATAGTGAACTACTAAGGGTCCAACAACTAAGACTTGATGTTGCTATCTGGCAACAAAGAAGGGTAAATTTGACAAGAGAAAAGTAAAATTTAACAAGGAATCTAAGTTAGATGGTAATTATTATTATTATAATAATGCACAAACAGGTTTGAATTTTCTTTCTTTGGATATAGCATGATGTTGAGGAAAACCAACTTCTCACACAATGAATGCTATTTTTTTGCCACACGACACTGCAAAAGCACTTATAGCAAGCATTCTTCTGTATCACAAAAGGCTGCAAGCACACTCTTTGTAGGAATTCCATGTTTCACTATTCAGGCTGGCTTCCCACCAAATGAGTTTAATGTAAGCTGGTGGGTAGATTAGAAACGAGAGACTCTTCTTTAGGTCAGTGAGTTTTGTCTCATGGCTTTGCCACTCCCCAAAAAACTCTGTACTAGAGAGCCAGCTGTAACAGCCTTGTATCGCTGTTGCTTGGATGATATGATCGGGTTCTAAAATGCTATAACTTACTGCTGGATTTTAAATCAAGGAACTGGCAAACACCATGAACCAACAATCTGTCAAAACTGCAACATAGTGAAAGAAAAATAATTAGCATTACTTTCAACAAAAATATGAGCCAAAATGAGCATAGCACCAGTATTTAGCTATGAACACACCTGGATGGTATGTTTGTGATCATGACGGAACTGGGGTCATCAGAAAAGTAGGAAACCACTTCCTCTTCATGGTGCTTCAGCCCACCCTGTATTAGAGGATCAAAAAAAAAAAAAAAGCAAAATGTAAAAAAAAAAATGAAAATTATAGAAATGAATGAGTGATACATAGAGGATATTACATGGCTGCGCGGAGATACGAAATTTCTCGAGTGTTGAAACGAGTGAAATATTTTTTTAACACGAGAAGAGAAATTTCGTATCTCCAAGCGGCCATGTAATGTTCTATTTATTATATAAACACCAATGAACTACCAAACCATTTCACTTTAATAGTTTTTTGGTGCGAAAGGAGTGATTTATTATGAAGCCATAGCAACGGTGATATTTTCACATGTGAAGATAGCATGTTATTTTCACATGTGAAGATGTCAAGTTTTCTCGCAAAAGCTCACCTGATATTTCATTGGTGTTTATATAATAAATCTCTATTCTTAACACACCCATCCATATACTTGGACCACCCTGTATTAAAGGTAAAAAAAGCAAACTGTAAAAAATGAGGAGAAATGAATGAGCGGTACATCTCTATACTTGACACACTTTAAATAAGGCCCAAAAAGAAAACAAGAAGAATCGCTGACATAACAGAGTTTTCGATAAGAGGTCCTTGAAAAATGATCTGATAAAATTTGGTTCTAAATTTGTCCAAGATTACTGGTCATTTATGTTATGTGGAGATAAATTTAATGTGAAAAGGAGTTTTTCACGTGATTAAAAAACAATGCACAACCATGTGTCTTGAATCTTCAATATGACTGATTTGGAAGTGTGTTGGTCAAGACATACTTATTGCTTATCAATGGAAAAGAATATCTACTAACTTGAAAGTAAAACATACCATTGAAAATCGCTTGTTTAGAAGTGTTCCTCTGATTCGTCCTTCAATTTTGTTGAAAGACCTTTCTGCAGTTACCACAGCATCTACAGATGCAGTGAATTGAAATAAGATAAGACATTTTATTTACATAGCACTAAAAGTGTATTCATATTCTAAAGCCCTTATAAGAAACTGACAAACAGTACACCAAGAGAAAATACTGTAAAAATACAATACTTCAATCACTGTACAAAAGCATAGTTCACTGGGCAAATGCCAAACAAAATAAGAGAGTCTTTAGAACCGTCTTTAAGCCCTGAACACTATGGATACTCCTGATAGCTGAAGGAAGAGTGTTGCATGGTGAAAGGCCAACATAAGCGAAGGCCCTGTTCCCAAGGGACATGTATTTTATGAAGTGATACTCTATTTTACAAGTGGTCAGAGTGCAGCAGGGCTGTCCCTAAGGGCTAAGGGACAAGGATTTCCCCTGGCTGTGATAAGCACGACCCGCAGCTACTTTGAGGAGAAACAAAAGGAAAGCCTGAAAGCTGAGCATGAACAACTTAATAGCTGTTCAGTTTCCTGCCAAACAATAATTGCTGCATTGACCTAGGAACTTCAGCGTGCAAAGAAAGTCGTGTCCGATAGCCTGGGGCTAGAGGATTTTGCTATCAGGCTAGTGATTTTTTGTTCTTAAGTTGCCCAACGGGCAAGTGTTGTTTTTTGGGGGAAATTCAAATTACAGAAGGATTGTAATCAATCCCGTTAATCCAAAAAGGGTTTGTGGGCTAGTACATGCTAGCTACAGCTTGCTTGAATGGCAGGTTGTAAAACTGACTTTCTTTGCACCGTGAAATTGAACCTTATTGACAGCTCAAGTGCTAGATTTTTAGTCTTAGACTGGGCCTGTCTGACATGCTATGTTTGAATAACAAACAAGTTCAGTTCAGTTCAGTTTAATGTTTTGCCATAAGATGTACAAAAGCAAGAAAATCTAATCATTTAAAACGCTAATGGCAAGGAAGCCCAAGGGAAGCCACCGGGCTTATAAGGAATGGGCTCCCTCAGTTAAATTATTAGAACAAAATAATTTATCATCAAAATTAAAAATATTATCATAATTACACAATTAAACAACAAGCGGTGGCTAACTTTTGGGCTACAAACTGTATTGAACTTAAACCAATCTAACTTAATCTACTTGTAAAGAGAAACAACTTTTTTCAATTTCATTTAGATACTCCCCCTGAGAAATTGTATAAACTGCACAGTTTTATTGTGGAAAAGACAAAATATACTTAACATTTCGACCAACCTCTTTCTGTCAAGACAAGTTCTTCCTCAGTACTTTCTCGGTTGATTTCCTTCTCTTGAGGAGATGATGTTCTTCTTGTAATGACAAGATCTTGTTCTTCCTCAGACAGGCTCACAAATTCATTCCAGATCTTAACATACAAGGAAGTATAGAAGGATGTTAGATCTGGAACATTCATAACCAACCCAGGGGTACTAAACTCATGTTGAGGGATAGGCTTGCCACTGTGGGGTAAAAATCATGACCTTGCTTTTGCTTACGACAAAAAAGAGAAGCACCTTCTGCTAAATTAGAACCCTCTGTTGGACAAGGGACAAAACAGTTGGCTCCTTGTTTCGTTAAAGAGTAACATTTTCTTTGGAACATGTGTTTTCATTGTACTAACAGTTTTCTCTAGTTCGGGATGGGCCAAAAAGCATGCATGCCATGTCCAGTGTTCTGTAGGCCATAAGAAAGTTCCCCTTTCTCCCAGAAAAAATGCATCAAACAGCATACCTTCATTTTTTCTGCATTTGTTAAAAGTGAGGCAAACACACTTGTGTTGTTGTTAACCAAGTCACTGATGTCAAGTTCATCAATTTCCTCATGATCGACAAGACTCAGAAGGAAACAGGCTAAAAACAGACATTGCATATTCTAAGCTGGCACATTGATCAGCCTGTTCAATGGTTTTAGAATTCCTGATAAAGACTGTAATATTTTGTGGTTCTCTTAATCCTTCAATCGGCAACAAAAAGTAGAGTCACTGTGCCTCAAAGGGCTTTTTTGGCATGTTGCCAATTTCAAAAGGGAAAATGAAGCTTTCCTTACCCACCCCCTCTAAGCAATGTTGTTCTGCTGTATGAGCTACCTGCCAGAAACACCCCAACTTTGAATTGGGATTGTTTTGTTCTCCAAAGTACCCAAGTTTGTGGATAGTATCTTAACAATTCTTTTGACAGCGTTCACACTTGGAAAGGTACCCGAGTGTGGTACTCATAGGGTACTAATATTAATGTGAACACACGTTTTTTTCAACTACCCATGCTGCAATAAGGTAACCGTGCCGGGGTGCCTGGGTTCAAGGTCGAGACCTTGTACCCAGGCACAACAGTGGGCATCGGGTCCCTGTGTGCACACCAGTGTTGTTAGTTATAATGCAAACCACTGCTTCCTACTCCCTACAAAGCTCAAGTTTCCAAGTTGCATCTGACAGCGTGAAAGGGAGTAACTTTGTGGACAGTTTCATATCAGGTACTCAAGATGTAAACAAAACACCACACTGTGCCAGTTCCAAGGCACTGGTTCCCAGGCTCCCAACCAAGTGTACACAGCCCCTTTGTTTCATACTCACTGTTTACTACCACAGCCAAAGATATTACAGAATGAAAATGAACAAGGGCAGATAATTTTATTTCTTCAACTATTATCTTCGAATAAAAATAATCCACAGATAATCTATTTTTCATGTGCATCTCCAAAACAATAAAAATACTAACTGTTTTCATGTCGCCTCATCTGCCTGCTTCCAGTTTTAACCTTTCTTGCCGGGAATTTTGTGTTAAAATGATGTATTTTACTTTTCTGTGAACGCTGACGGATAGTACGCCTTTGAGCTGCTTCTTGTTGGGGCTGCGGTGCGTCTGGAGGCTCAACAAAATCCTCCTCCCAGCCCCTGAGGAGGAAAAAAATGGCCTTGTGAAAGAGCAACGACGACTGCAAAAACAACCTATGGGCTAAGTGAGAAAAAAAAAACAACTTGGCCCTTGTAACGCAATATAAACAGCAAGCATTAGAAGCATTATGAGTTTTCCAAAGAGCCCAATTTGATGTTCCTGTCGGAGTTTGACCTCTCGACGACTTCCTGCTCAGCAGACCGGCTTTTGGAATTTACCGGGCGCCGGTCAAAGCTCACTGGCTGGACGAGGGAATCTTCGTTGGAAAATTGGTTTTAACACCAATGTTTTATCGTGCTCTGCCCAATTATAATATCATCAATCGAGATCGTGGGATATATCATATGGTTTTACCACTCGAACGCGAATTACATAACCAGCTAGCTAATCGAAATAAGAAGAAGGGGGAATCTTACTTTGAGTCTCATTTATAAACAAGCTAAGGACATCACACTTGGCTGGCTGGTTTAATTCGCAAATCAAGCAGCATTGTCATCAGCTTATTTATAGCTGTTGATAGAAAATCAAAGATGAAATAGGGAACTTAAACTTACAAATTTTACCGGTTTTTACAGTAAATAAATTATTTAACCGCGCAAAATACCAAAACAAAACATTCTACGATACTTACAGTTCTGTCCCGTACGATTCTTCGCTTTCCCGATTTCGGCGATGTCGTAAATGTTCTTGAACGTTGAAGACACCCATTCCACGACAAACGATTACTGGTTACTAAGGGTTGTACAAATGTAACCTTGCAGAAAACAAGGAACCGAAATCAAAGATGGCGGACTTTAGTTTACGACTTGTGATGCAATCGAATGGAAAAATAGCAGAAATCTGATTGGTTGTGTGTTGTGTCTTCCTCGTCGCGATTTCGCGCGTGTACGCGCGTTTTTTTCTACGTACTGGATTGGTTCATGCGAAAGGAGGGCCACCCAGAGACCTGTTTATAAAGGTTACTTTGGCAATTGGACATACAGAACAATACCGTCATTTGCTTGAGTGACGACTAAACAACAGATTCCCAGTGCCCAAATACCAATGCCCAAAGCAACCTTTATTAAACCAGCCATATATTGCTTTGTGAGGGCAAGGGAAACCGTATTAGTTGTTTGTTGTCCGTTAAAAAAAACTGTCCGTCCGAAGGTTATTTAACGTTTCAAGGACGGGAATAATTGAATTTAAAAGGTTACGTCCACACGAAACCGCCTACCATTTTGCACGAATCGACCTTCCGTTCACACGAATCCAGTGAATCTGCTCAGCGTTTTCTTGAAACTGCTCTCCAGAGGGGTTTAACGGTAACCGGTCAAGTCGCCCGAAAGTCATCTCGCCCGAAACCAGAGTTAAGTCGCCCGAAATGCTGAGTCATGTCGCCTGAATTTTTTAGGTGAAGTGCACAGAGAAACAAAGTTAATTTTTGTTAGATAAAGGGTCTTGTGTTATTAAGTGTTATAAAATTTGGAGCCACATAAATCAGCATTTCGGGAGACTAGACCTAAACATTTGCGACGACATAACTTCGGGCGTGATGACTTTCGGGCGACTTGACCGTAGACCGCTTTAACAAGCCTGTCCACATGAATCCGTGATGCGGTTTCAAACATGTCCGGTTTCGTGTGGACGTGGCCTAAAATAGGTAGCTTCACCATTTCAAGAGCCCTTCTTTTTCGAACGAGAAAGACAAGAGCTATTATTTTGCACAAAATTGGATGACTATTGCCTTTTTATTTTTTTTTATGATGACATGCTAGTTGCTCCCAGTAATTCCCTCAATTTGCAACAGCTTCATTCCATCAATGTGCAGTCGATGAATTTAACATTGAGGGGCGTGTAAGAGCATGCAAACGCAAATATGAGTAGACGATTGTCATTTTCAAAACTAAAACTTTACTTTCAATCAGAATTTAACTTGTGAAATAATTGAAACAAAGATATATGTTTGCAACGGATTAACACCAATTTCACTTGACAGCGGCGGGTGCACCAGCTCCTACTTTTGCCAAAAAGTCTGATTCACCACAGGCACTTTCCACACGCTGGAGATAAACGAAAAAAGAAAAGGTTCATACAAGAAATATGTCTAATCTGCCCATTGACAAATCTACGTGCCAACAATATCAGTAGGTAAACCCAAAATGATAACTACTCCGCTTTTGGCAGGGTGCAGGCTAGCTGCCGCTGTCAGAACGTCGCTTAGAGTAAACAAATTGCCCCCAAAATATACTAACTGAAGAAATAATTACAGATCTCGGAAATAACAAATCTAACTTTGCTTTAAAAAATGCTTTTTTCTTAGCCTATGAATTGAGTGAACTGAGATAAAATCGTTTCACCTCATTTTTTAATTCATGATCTCCACAAGCCGGCCTTCAGTCACCTGAAATCAAGATTTGACCCGTTGGATTAGTGGAATTGGAATACTAAAAGTGTAATTGTCTCGCCCGCTTTATTCCCTTGGCAAGTTCATAGAACTTAGGCACATGTCACGAGTAAGTCCTTGTTTTGCCAAGATCTTTAACCAAAATTGCCCCCATTTTTCTCCTTTGCTGATTTTTGCTTTTTTTCATTTTTTTTTTCCTTATTTCTTCTCCTTCTTTTCTCCAAGCCCTCTCCGCTCACTCGGATAGCGCGAACTGGACTGAGGACTAGGCTGCAGCATACTTACCGTTATAATGAGGCCAGTTTTCAAAAACAATTGGATTACTTAGAATGTGTGCAGTCAATGAAGCTGCCATAACGCTCGCAAATTGTCTCCAAGACTCAGGTTCCCTGCCATCAGCAAAGTTAGAGACTCCTTTGATAACAATCCATTCGACCTTCAAGTCGTGTGCGGCTAAGAACAGGCCTGCAATAGACATTGTAGATAAGACCGGTTAAAAAAAACTAAACCCGGTTCATAAGTACCCGGGTATACGTAACAGCTGTTATTTTCTCAGAGTTCTTAAAAGTTTCTTCTTCTAGCTTTTTTGGTCTAAGTTTGTTCTAGTGTAGACTTGTGGGTATGTCGCACTACCCTTTAGCCTAAATTTGAATATTGGTTTGAGGCAATCAAAAAACCACCTCTTTGTCTCTTTGCATATTCTGTACAGCAGGAAATGTCATTCCAGATCAAAGTTGAAGAACTGTTTGCCAAGGGAGCAGTGGGTTCCTATTTCAGGACTCAAAATTGCCTATTTTGCCCTAGTTTGGGTATCAGGCGTTTATGGGGGAGGGGAAAGGGAAGTGAGCTAAGTAAGGAGACAGTTCACAACAGTTCACCTTCTATTTTCCCTCCCCTCCCCGTACTTTAAAATTCCCTCTCCCCTAACCTCAAAGGAAGGCCAATTACTCGGTCCATTTATTGCCTTGGAACATTATCAGGAGTAATGAACCGGGGACAGTCTGAACCGGGTGGATCAGGAATCCACACATAATTCAGAGGGGTACTAGGGGTTAACTCTTCTGAGTTTCCCGAAGGAGAGTTTTCTAGGAAAACTGAACAGTCCCGCTGCTGAACTTTTGCCAGACTCTCACCTTGCCCTTCCATTTCTATAGCAATCGCATCCGGGAATCGGTTCACGAGTTCCTCGCGTCTTTCTTCACTTTCCACCTTCTCGGGACCGCTCAAATACACGCCATCTTTCCACACTTTCACCTCCCCGCAAGCTCTTAGTGGCGCCTTCCAGCCACCATCAGCATGGTTGATGAGTTTCAAAAGATTCGCCTCCAACGGAACAGCAAGGCCACGCTCTTGAATTCCACTGTCCGTTACTTTCACAGAAGCGTATGTTCTTAGCTTTGCTGAAATTGCCACATCTCCTAAGCTGACTTCTTGCCCCAATCCACCGCAGAATCCCACACAAAATACTGCTTTGGGTCTTAACACTTCAACACCATTTTTCACAGTTATTAAGGCACCTCCCGGAGTCAGAGGGCCTGAATGACATTTCATCACAGCGATTTTCAAGAAGGTTGGGCCCGTACCCATCTGCCCAAAGTATACCGTTCCAAGGTTGCCATGACTACTCCGAAAGTATCCCGGATTTAGATGAGAAACGCAACTCAAGAATTCCCAATCCTCCACCGTCAGTAGCAAAACATCAACTGGAAGTACAGTCAGTAGTACTTCATTCCAAAGCTTCGCGTCTTTTGGTCCTGGCAGATCCCTTGTTTTCAGCAGACACGCGGCAGGCAGCTTAGTATAATCGATCTCGGGTGGGCCACAGTTTTCCGTACCACTAGGCAGTCGTCTTCTTTTCATAATCTTTCATCTGATGCACCTACCTATTGTTCGCCTTTGGACGATAAAGACAGAAATAAATTTATTCAATTTTTATAGCTGGACTCACAAATTCAATAACTGTAAACAAAAAGGATTCCAAGCGTGACACTTGGGGGTGAGGGTTGGGGTGGGGGTGGGGGTGGGGATGGTACACATCTTACTTCTCCCTTCTTCTTTTTCAGATTCCATTGTATTTTTGCATCAATTTTGATTCCAACTTCCACTTTTACCTCCTCAAGGCTCCTATATAGAGGTGGGTCTATAGATTTCTTGATCGATGTTGTCACTTTCCGTCCGGCAGTGATTTCAATGCTGAAATACCTCAATAAAACTCTTTGCCGGATTATTTTTGGAGCCGGCCAGATGTGTTTTTTGTCATCTGTGGTATGTAAATTACTTTACACCCTTTCCTAAGCCGTGAGAACGGTATATTTCATCCTAGGTATTTTCGATAACGGACCTTTAGAACCAGGGTTTTGCCGGCCAGGTGTGTTATCGATCGTAGGCAACATTGACAACGTATGGTAATGTAGGTTGGAGACTGTTGTAATAAAGTTGTCTTTTGCATAAGATTATGCTTACACAAGCGTAAATTAAAGTGAACATTTTCCACTGAATATACGTCACGTATTCGCATATATTTGTAACTTCACGGATGCTTTAAAAACGCTCCGTGGTTTTTAAAAAATTTTGCATCGAACGTCAAATAAGTTTGATTGGTAGAAATGAGTAGTAAGCGAAAAAACGCCATGAATGTTGTTATGTATTATAGCCTTCCTTTTCCTAGTTTCCCGTTTAAAAGTGCAACGTAAGCTTTTTTGTTCGCAAAGATTATTGGAAATATAGGGGTTGGTTTGAATCATACAGCGGTGGCTAATCTGCTTTACTACTGTTGATTTAATGAATTTATTCAGGTCTTCGTTATTGTAGAGCGTCAGTTGTTAGCGTAATCATTGACCCAAGGCCACGGTTTGTCTTCCAGCATTGAATAAACACGGCATCAGAAAGAAAACTGTTTGACCATGTTCGATCCCTAAACGACGAAATCAAGAGACGCCATCGAATACTAGCAGTTACAGCCGCAAGGATTCTGAGTTTTTGTTAAACTGATTCAAAACAGGAACGTGATTAAACACTGAACACTCACCTTGAGCCGGTTAACTGTTATCACGACCGATAAAAATCACTATTCAGTTCTTGGTATTCATATCGATATTATACAGACTGGCGACCCCATTTACCTCAACTATATGATACACCTATACACATGCATACAGTACCTTCATCGATTGTCTCCGCAATGTGGAGTTGGTGCGGTGCGAGATATGTCAACAACTATGCTAACAGTGACTTATTACATGGTAGAATGAGGTTAAGGGGTTCATTCTGAGAAATATCGTAAGAGATATTAATGACCATCACGCCAGATATTGGCGTGACTAGAATACGATATAAATCGACTACTTACGACGGAAGTCGAGAGTCAAAATTTTAATGCCAGTCGAGTGAAAGCACCTTTATATTATCTGTAGATGTGGGAATTATCAAAAACTCGATATTTTCCTCGTGTTAGCTAAATATTACTCGTATCCAAACAGTTAGCGTAAAAACAAATATATTTTTAATGATTTTAAGGTTACGGCCCTGTCCTCACTTATACGGAGATCCAATTCCTCCGTTTTCATAGCGCTTTGGCTCGTTTTCACTCGTCCAGATGAGAACGCTAAAACGATGAAAATACGATAGCATCCCTTGCTGAGCTGCGTAATGCTAGCAGTTTTTGATAACCTGCGTTTTTGGTACCCGAAAACGCCATTTGTGTGTGGACGGAAGGCTAAAACGGAGAAAAAGAAAACTCCGTATTCAAAAATATTCGGATGTACGATCTTGAAAAACCCTCACCATTCCGGCATTTGACTACTGAGCAGTAAAATAAAGCCAACTGTGGCGCCTTTTATTTTTATGTCTAAGTACTAGCATTTGTTGAAATAAAAAACTTGCAGTCATTCTTTTGGTGCATCAGCTGAAGCTTCTGTCATATAAATGTGTTCAGAAGAAAGGGAAGCTCATAAGTGATAGCCTGGGTCAAACGAAAAAAAACATGTGGTGGTGGTGGAGAAGAAACGACAATAGAAATGCGGTGTTGGTGTTGTTTGGAGGGAAGATGATTAAAAATGCGTTGGTGGTGGTGGTGGTGTTGGAGGAAAGAAAATTGAATTGCAGAGTTGGTTAAATGTAAGGAAGACGTTAGAGATGTTTAGATTCGAGGATGAGAAGGACTACGAGTACGAGATTTGACTTGAAGTTTTTTTGCGTCTTTTCAAAAAATATATAGACACCCCGGGAAGCTTCACCGGCCTGTTTTTTGTACCAGAAACGTTGGCATTGACTTAATTGAGCTGAGGAGGTTTAGTCCTCTTCCGGTCGCAAAATGATAAAATTCTAACATTTGATAACTTGTTTCCGCCACCACGACATTCCCGCTTGAACTCGTAGTAGAATGACGTATTAGCCTGCGTCTCAGACGTAATCTTATCCTAGTTAATATAAACGTAACCAGAAGTTTAGTTTCGTCTTTGGCAGAGGCTATACCTTTGGAGCTGTCGCTTTTTTCGGAGACGCGTCATCAGCAAAATGGAAAGTGAAAACAGGGCATTTTAACACACTTTTTATCAGTTCAAGAGCTGGCCTCAAGAATTTATTTAAACAATCAAATCAATTAAAAAAAGGACAAAAACTAGTGACGATGACTTCAGCAAGAATACAATTGAAAGACTGCTCAACAAGTTATTTTTCTCAAAATCCGGGATTTGCAAGGCGCAAAACGTCCGGGCCCACGTGAGATTCGAGAGAAATAGCGTCTCTCCCCTCCCTCACTCTTTGTTCTCACCCTCCTCCTCGATTTCGCCTTTCAACAACGAAACAACGTATCACTGACAACAAATTTTATTGAAACTCAACTATAAATGACTATTACATAATTTTCCCTTCTGCAAATAGCCTACTGAAGAACAAAGTAGGTGGACTAAAGAACAACGAGGACAATACGCAGACTACGATACCGATAAATAGAAAAAAATAACATAAAACCAAGCATTTTAAGTAAAAAACGATTAAGAAGAGAGACTAAAATAATGCATAAAACTTGGGTATTAAGTTGATTATTTTCTCTCTTATAAGTTTGCAATTGGTTCAGTCATTATATAGAACAGCTGGCAGAGAAGGATGAAAGATAGAAACGAAAACCAGGAAAATGATTAAATAAAAGACATTCGATGAATAAGAGAAAAAGGAAGACTTTACGGAGCACAATGATGTTCACGTCCGTCTATCTTTGTTAGGTTCTTCGGCCACTATGCTCGTTCGCGGTAGTTTTACTTCTTTTTTCTTTAATCAAGGCTTATTTTATTAATCGTGCTAACGACTAAAATACATGTCATCATTATGAACTAAGAAATAACTGCTTCCTGGTTGACAAGTTTTCTGGGAAATCTCTTTGATGTGTACAAGGTTTGATAGACGCAAATGCTGTAGATGACTATAAAAAAATGTTAATAATTAGTAATTATTGCAGTGGCTGAGTATGATTTTAAAAATTATGCAGATCCAGAAAGGTGTTATCCGCTTAGGCCGACGGCAAAGATCTGTATAATTCTTAAAATAATACCAGAGCCGTCCCTCTTTCTGTTGATAACCTGTACTATCGATGTCAGTTCATTGTTTATCGCAAACGTTTTCCAAATTTGGTCAACGCTAGCTGGTTATGAGGAATTAGCCGGGGTAACTGAGCCGCAAACAGAAACGAAGAAATGATTTGAATAGATAATAATATTAATAAATTAAATACTACTTAAGTAAACCAGCGTTATCAGTAACCTTGAATTGAAAATGCTGCCAATGACTCTCAATACGCCTGCGCAAAGTCTTTTCATCTTGGCAAATTCTCGTCACGTGCATCGCACTGGCCATAGTGGTCTTTGGTCAAGGGCACGATAATGACACCAGCGGTGGTTCGGTTTTTTCTTGGAATTTGGTGAGTGTGGGGTGTGGGATCGATGGCGTATTATGTCATGGGACCTTCACTGGACCTCACGAAGCGCCAGGTACACGCTGCACACGTCATATGATTTTGGGCTAGACCTCGAGATGGTGAAATGCGGAGACGTTTCTGCAGACTTGCTTCATTTTTCCTGTCTCTCGCAATCAACAGCTGCTTCTCAATATGTAATACATTGTATTCCAATTGGCTGAAAATATTCATGTTCAATTTCTTGCAGAAGCTATCAACAGTATCAATAACTGTCTTCTGACAGAGCCTAGACTCATACTCCGATCCCCCCGCAGATAGAGTCCCGGGTAGTAGATAAGACATTACTTACTGGGTTCACAAAGAATCACAGCTCAGTCGTCCAAAGTCTCCTTGCTTCGCTTGGTAGACTGATCACCGGCCTCTGCTGCCTTTCTTTTTGACTCCTCTTCTGACGATAGGGCTGTTAAAAAAGCAACAAACTTTTAAACTAATAATAACCTGAAAATAAATAACAATAATAATGATAAAAATTTCTTAAGATATTACCAGTAATTTTTATAGCCTTTTCCCTTTTCTTTGTTTTTGAGAAAAGCAAGACGAAACTCACATCCCACCCTTTGAAACAAAATTAAATTTGAAGACTTCCTCTGACTGACTTCCTCTTGGCAACTCGAGGTGAAATAGTTTGAACAGAAGGTATTGTTTACGTTTTCATTTGAAAGAAAGATAACCCAACAAGGGCTCTATCCAGGAGTGCGTCTTTAGCAAGGTTTATTGGCCGCAACGCATTCGTAAGTTCTATTAGAGAGTTTTAGATCCGAGTTTACCGCGAGCCTCTAACCGCTGGAGGTCACGTGACAAGTCTTTCGCGTCACGTTTGAGGTTTACGACGTGCGTTTTCAACGTGGGGAGGTAGGTTTTCACGTATGTCATTTACCTGAAAGCTTTTAGCGTATAATTCTTGTTTTATCTCACGTAATGATACAAAAATCTTGTGGAACAAGTCTTTATCCATTAACAGAGGCACAAATTCGGGCGAAATGCTAAATTTGATAAATCCTATTTATATATCTTGAAAACAAGTGCCATTCATGGCTGCTGATTCAAAATGGCGGTCGTAAATTTGCAAGAAGAACTAATGTAAGAATTTACAGCTCTTTGCTGCTAGATAACCCAGTGTTACTGTAAATTTCTTTTACTTTCACTGATTGATATTTCTTCTATTTCTAAATGGAAAAATAAACCAGAATCAAGTTCTTTAATCCACCGCCAATCTAAATCGAATTATGTTTGAACGTCGAACCGCAAACGGGTAACCCCAAACCGCGGTTAGAGGTTCGCGGTAAACTCGGATCTAAAACTCTCTATTGTCGAGCTTCCAACGTTGAACGGGAACCCCGGTTATGAGCTCCCCACGGGCTACCGGGACGTTTTGTTACGTGATTCACATTGTAAATCAATGTCGAACTCAATCACTTGATAAAGATTTAGTGATGGAATCGAAGAGGGTGTGTCTTAAAAGTTATCCTGCGGCATAAAACCTAGTTTTACTTTCAAATCTTCCGTTTACATTCATTTTATCCTCTCTGACGCGAAAAGAATTGTGACCTCAACTGGAACCACAACTCAACTGGAACCACACTCTCGGGTACTCCATATGATGGCCTATACGGGGAGGCTCCGCCCGAAAGGTCCCGAAAGGGGTATCTTTTTCATGCTCCAGGTGTATGAAAGGGTTGGGATGTCACTAGTTGAAGTATATAAAAGGTTAGGAAATTCAGTCTGTGAAAGGGTCCAAAAGGGCTAACAGGTGAATTTTATGGCTTTATAAAGTCGAAAAGTATGTTCTATTTTGTGAGGTATGTGAAAGGGGCACCATTTGTCAATAGAAGGTATACGAATGGGATACCTTTTTCGTCAAAAATGGTATTTAAAAGGGTGAGGGGCTGGACCTCGGGGCGGAGCGTCCCTCTATAAACATTTGTTGATTGCCCCCCGGGGCTCATTGTTTGTACTTACCACCATAATGAGGCCAGTTCTTGAACGTATTGGGATTGTTGAGGATGTGAGCAGTTACAGAAGCTGCCATAAAACTCGCGAATGATCTCCAGTGATCTGAGCTAGATTTCGTACCATCTGCGAAGTCAGAAACTCCTTTAATAACGACCCATTCCATTTTCAGTTCGTGTGCCGCTGCGTAGAGACCTGAAAAGAACAAGGACAATTACGCAATCAACTACAGGTGCCAAGCAAACGTATTTTCATTAGTCGCCAAAATCTGGGACGGTCGTGTAAAATCCCCGATCGTCTGGAATTTTCCCGACATACGAAAACTAGGCTATTAAACCGCCTCTCATAACATAACAATTAATTCAACAGCATTCACTTTTGGGTCGAGAAATTGGGTACCGTACAAGGTTGGCTCGGGGAGAAAATAAATGTTAAATATATAAATGAAAAACGAGAGAAGAAATAACTTGAAAAGAAAAAGTGAAATCCCTAATCTTAATTTTGACTTTATTGTTAATTTCTTCATCCTCTAAAACTACAATTGTTTAACTTTGGCAACGGATGGTCCAGGGTTAGCTGGAATGTACAAGGAAAAAATACCCCGGTTATTTTATCTGCTCGTGTGTTTTCCAGAACAAGCTATTGGTTTATGTACGAGACTCTCCGCCCTCGTAACCCTTCGCAGTCTTGTCTTACCCCCTCTTTTTTTTTCACTGACTCAGCTGCTAAAATCTTACCCTCGCCCTCCATTTCTATAGCATCCGCATCAGGGAATCGCTCGGTAAGCTCTGCACGTAGTTTTTTATTATCAACTACCTTTGGACCACTCAACATTACGCCGTTTTTGACTACTTTCACCTCGAGCTCCGCCTCATCCTTCAACGGTGGCTTCCAGCCTTCATCCGCGCATTTAACGAGGTTCAAAAGATTTTTGAACGACGGAACAGCAATATTCCGATCTACAGTTCCCTCTCCTGTCACTTTTTCAGCGGAATATGTCCTCAACTTCGATGAAATTACCACGTCTCCGGATTTGAGTTTGTCTTCCTTTAAACCACCGCAAAATCCTACCCAAATTGCAGCTTTGGGTTTTAAGACTTCAACGGTATTTTTCACAACAATGGCAGCTTCAATAGGGCCCTTATCTGGACTTTTATATAGGGCAATTTTCAAGGAATCTTGCCCCTCTTCACCAATTTCCCCAAAATACACAGGCCCAAGCTTCTCGTGATAACTTGTATAGAATCCCGGTTTCAAATAATGAGCACAGGCCAGAAATTCGCAATCCACTACTGTCAGCAACAAAATATCGACTGGCAGTTTATCTGTGTCCCAAGGCCGCCAGTCTTTGAATGCAGGAAGATCCTTCGTCTTCAGCTCTTTCCCGGCTGGCAGCTTGGTGTAATCAATCTCTGGTAGCTTTCTGTTGGTGTTGTTGTTGCTGGTGCTGCTGCTGCCAGCGACGACAGGTGATTCACTGGGGCTTTGTGTGTTTGACATTTCTAAATAAAAAATTGGAATTATTACCGTAATAAATATGATAACTATATAGTGATAGAAGAAGTATACCTTATACTATTTAAGCTCTTACTTTAGCAAAAGCTAGCGTTTACAAAAAACATTTTTATATTTTTATTTCAAATTTATTAATGAATCGTTTTTTGTCAATCTTGATTTAAATGTTCACTTTTTCCGTTTTATTTTACAATGTTATCATGGCATCATGTTGCCTGTCATCTTTTCTCTTGAATTGTAACGTCTTTTAACCAGGGCCATTATTTGCAAGATCCTTTCAGGTGCCTTTAAAAAATCAGCTTTGCATCCTGAAAGTGAATCTCGCTATGGGGACCTGGGGACGTCAACTAAAATTTCATCGCGCAGTTTTCCGTTAAATCGTCGATTCTTTTCTTAACTAAATCGTGGATCAATTTAGGTTTTTGGGAAACTGCCCACCTAGCCCTCCCCTAACCCAACATTTTGCCTTAAGTGAGAAGTAAGTGGGCAGTTTCCCAGAAACCTAAATAGAGAGGAAAAGTGTGACGTCACGTTACCATGGTATCACTATTAAGCCAACGAAAATATAGCAAAAAATATATGGGGTACAAATGTCAGTTGTCAGTCAAATGATTATTAATAATTAACTATGAAACTGACGGTTCATTTAGTTAAAAAGCAGCGTCCTTAGCACGATTTTCTTCACTGGGGTCCACAGGACCCATAGAGAGAAGATAAATGGGGGTTACGAGGGAGAAAAGAGGGCCTCGGTATATGAGTACATCCTTCAAGATAGTGGAGCTTCAGAACGCATCATTTCACACATGTGCATGTGCAGAAGTCGTTATTTTTTTATGGACGCTGCTGATTGGGTGTTTTCTAAAGACGCCATAACCAGTTAATGTTTACTTACGTTTCTTTTTATTTGGGCTTCACCCAAAAAGAGTAATCAAGATCGCTTATTTTGAATCAAAGTCGCAATAGGCACGCAATACGTGCAAACGTAGACAAGCCAAGTAAAAAAGCCAAGCGAAGCGAATGTCTGCGATGCGAACGACTCGTACAAGGTAAAAAGCATGCCGGAAAGAAAGCTCCCAAAGCGTCTTAGTATTTTTTTGTTTTCCTTCTTTGCGCTCTTGGGACCCCTCGAGCTAATTACAGTGCGGCATTTCCCTAAAAAAAGTGGCAATACTGAAATGCTGCGGTCTGGTAAGAACACTGTAAAAAGGAATATATAATGTAAATTGAACATTAAAAGCGAAAACTGATGCAATAGTACCTTAATTTCTATCGGTTTTGCTATTGAAAGCATTTCAAGTGGCCCTCCATTTCTCAAGTCTTGTGTTATTCTCGTCCACGCAAACGTTTTGCTGGCCAGAGTCCAACATATGCAACCATTAAGCCAATCAAAATTTATACCTTCGGAATATTGGGACGTAAATCACGAGAAAGACAGAGAAAGACCGTATCTGAATCATCTCGGTAAAAATTTACGATTGTTTTTATAACGCCTTCATTTGCAGCGAACGTGTATGCTAGCACGTTCTCAGATGAGCGTAAATTTAAGATCATAAACCATTTCCAACGGATGATCCTTGACACATGATGGGTTTTACGGTAGATCATTAACGAAATTTGCCCCTTAAGCGTCCTTCTGCTAAGATTATCCATATAAGCGTACATTTGATCACATTGTCTGACGAAAAGGGGTAGAACAATATTATTAAAAGGCCTTAAGAATGGGTTTTGTACAAAATAGAGAACAATCAGGTCCTTTGTCAGTTGACAGTAAAACCCAAGGTAAATGTCAGTTGTCGGTTAAATTTTAGGCAATTTGTCTGTTCGTAAAATTTTGGCAATTTGTTAGTTGTCAGTTAACCCCATCCAGACCCTACTAATTCGTAAAATGTTTCTTTTTTTAAATTTATTTGACTTCGACTTCGTTTAGTAATACACTAGGTTTGGTCAGGATTCATATACAAGTCTGTTTGCGATTTATTACAACTCGCAGGCGCTTATACATGTCATTAATAAATCCGAGAACATTCATTCGGTTACAAAATATTCCTGGGTTCTAGCTTAGATGTCGGACTCAACATCTCTGGGAACGCGACCGAACCTGATTGAACGTTTCCTGCCTTGTCCCCAGTCGTTCGCGACCACTTTTTGGGGGATATTACGATTCCCCGCTCACGCTCTGTGCTCGTCCTCATCATCCTCCTCTCGCGCTTCTCGCGTTTTGTTACTCGCTTTCTTCTCTCGCTTAGTTCTCCCCACTGAGCCTTGGAAAAGCCCGTAGAGGAGGCAGGAACGTTTCTATTTCGAATTCACACATGACACGTAGAATTTGTTTCGGATCAGGTCAAGAATGCGGATAAATCTATTCTAGTGTAAATTAAATCTACCCCCCCTTTTTTTCCCAGGTGTTTCTTGTTCCGGGGCCAAGTCACGTATCACACAAATGACTAATATCAACAAAATCGAGGAAATTGTGTGGACTAACACTCAATAATCACGCAAATTTGAAAGAAGGCGCAGATTTTTTCCAGTGACAAGCCAAAACAATTGGACATGCCGGTAAAAGCTGCCGTGCCTCGAATAAGACCTACTAGCAAAAATCAATTTGAACGGCATCAAACTTGAATCGTCCATTAGAGGGCCAACCTGCGTTAAGCGCGAGAAAGAAAAAAAAAACAATAAACTAAATAAAATCATCTCTTATCTCTTGTCCGGTAACATTACTTGAGCCACGTGGCCAAAAACGTATGGTAAAATGATACAAATACTGACAAAAAAACAGCTAGATAAAATGAGTTTGTATAGAAAGGAATATTTAACTTACATTGGTTACAGTCCCGTTTATAAATACCTTCCTAATTACAATGATCACTCCAAAGATATCAGCAAACTGCCCATGTAACTAACCTCTTTGGGTCGAAACTTTATATGGCCCATCAGTCACGTTTCTAATGACAAGCCAGAATAAAACTTTATTTTGGCTTACCGTTTGAGGCTAACATAACCGAACTAGATACGTCTTTAAACAATTTTTTAGGGTAAAAAGACAAGCTTGTCTTCCGTACCAATACCCCTCCAATCATTTATTCACTAAGCGCCATGACGTCTTTCGTAGCGTTCTACCAGGTTGATAGAGTGATAAAGAATTCACAGATTACCGAATATGTACCCGAGTCACCGCTTTTTCTGATCTTTTCTGCTTCCTACTTTACACAAAAAAGCACTTGTGAGAGCTGCCAGTAGAGGTAAATGGCTATAATAGTCAATGAATTCGAACGATCTTAAGAAATAAGCGATCGCGTGATCTCTGTTCAGTGTTGAGATATCCGGCTCTAATAATTACGCTCACTTCAGAACAGTTTTATACCGAATAATAATTTGAATCTAAAAAGCTCTCGTATTGTCGACGTCTTTGTCGGAATCTCTCCATGGCTTGAACCTCTTCAATCTCTTTCTTACTAACAGTTTTCTTCTAAATTACTTACGACTTAGTGTATAGTAGCTCTTGGTTGAAATGGTTCCTTGTAATTAGTTTATGCGAAGAAGTGCAAACTAGAGATTACGGTCGCTTGATTTCTAAGTGCAAATGCATTTTTATATCTAAAGTGATTGGTAATTCCGTCTTAAGGATCTTTAAGTACAATTTTATATTTAGTTTGATTCATGGCACACAGGTCAAGATTCGACTAACTGCGGTAATAGTGTCGAAGGCAATTCGAGCGAAACGTCGGCAGACGCGATTAAAAATTATGAAAATTTACACACACACTTATAATAAGGACCTCCTAAACAATAAAAAATTTGTTACTCTTATCGTTTTACAATACCTTTGAAGTTTTCAGGTCACGGTCTGGGCTTCGGTAGAAACTGAGATGCCTGCCTAGTGAAAAGCTCGGAAGTTGCAACGTCATGACTTTGTTGCAAATATTACTGACATGACATAATGGCTTGTAGTCGGGGCTTCAATTCTCAGAAAAACAGGAAGAACAATCAGTGAAGCGATAGATTATTCTCTCTTGGCGTAGTCAGTAGTCCGTATAGGACGCCATAACTTTCCCCGGGAACTTTCTTTAAATGTGGTAAGTTAGTGGTTGGGTTTCATCGGCCTGTGTACACAGGCAGGCGTTGTAAGAGCCCCAAGGGTAGGAGATTGGGATGAAGGGAAAATAAGGTGGGGGGAATTGGGGAGGCAGGCTAGTTTCAATTTCATAGTGATAAAGTCAACGAAGGAAAAAAGTCGAGAAAATAACAAACAAACAAACAATTTTTGACAAAAATAGAAATAAAAATGACTTACTTTGAGTTTTTGTTTCGTTTTTTACTGTCTCTTCGTCTCTAGAGCCATTTGGAAACCGTTTTATCGACATTAAGATCACCTGAGTTGTACTAACTGTTAGTACAACTTAAAATCTTAAACGTCGATAAAACGGCTTTCAAATGGCTCTAGAGGCGAAGAGACAGTAAAAAACAAAACAAAAACACAAGCCAGTAAGTCATTTTTATTTCTATTTTTGTCAAAAAATGGAATTTAGGACGTATTTTGCTTATTTTCATACATGCTCTTATAATTCAAAGTCCAACGAACTCCCACAGAGTTTGGGACGCCTGAGGATTACCGAATATGTACCCGAGTCACCGCTTTTTCTGATCTTTTCTGCTTCCTACTTTACACAAAAAAAGCACTTGAGAGAGCTGCCAGTAGTGCTAAATAGCTATCATAGTCAATGACCGATTGTAAGAAATAAGCGATCGCGTGATGAGACATTCGGCTCTAATAATTACACTCACTTCAGAACAGTTTTATACCGAATAATAATTTGAATCTAACAAGCTCTCGTATTGTCGACGTCTTTGTCGGAATCTCTGCATGGTTTGAACCTCTTCAATCTCTATCTTACTAGCAGTTTTCTTCTAAATTAATTACGACTGAGTGTTAGCAGCTTTTGGTTGAAATGATTCCTCGTAATTCGTTCGGTTAGAGACCGGTTATATGTGAAGCAGTGCAAAATAGAGATTACCGTCACTTGATTTCTAAGTGCAAATGCATTTTTATATCTAAAGTGATTGGTAATTCCGTCTTAAGGATCTTTAAGTACAAGTTTATATTTAGTTTGATTCATGGCACACAGGTCAAGATTCGACTAACTGCGGTAATAGTGTCGAAGGCAATCCAAACAGAACGTCGGCAGACGCGCTTAATAAAATTATGAAAATTTACACACACCCTTATAACAAGTAACTCCTAAACAATGAAAATGTTGTTACTCTCTATATCTTTTTACAATACCTTTGAAGTTTTCAGGTCACGGTCTGTCAGAAAGCTTCGGTAGGAATTGAGATACCTGCTTAGTAAATAGCTCGGAATTTGCAACCTAGCTTATTAGTTTGTTGCAAATATTACTGACATGACATAATGGCGTGTAGGCGGGGCTTCAATTCTCAGAAAAACAGGAAGAACAATCAGTGAAGCAAGAGATGGCCTTGGCGTAGTCAGTAGTCGGTACAATATAGAACGCCATAACTTTTCCCGGGAACTTTCTTTAAATGTGGTAAATTAGTGGTTGGGTTTCATCGGCCTGTGTACACAGACAGGCGTCGAAAGAGCCCCAGGGGTAGGAGATTGGAAGGAAGGGAAAATAGGCGGGGGGGTTGGGGAGGCAGGCTAGTTTTGATTTTATAGTGATAAAGTCAACGAAGGAAAAAAGTCGAGAAAATCACAAACAAACAAACAAACAAAGGAAAAAGATCGAGGAAAAGGCGGGTTAAAACTTCAAGGAGAAAAAAGAGTCGGGGAAAAAAAACGAGCACGAAATTTGCCGCATGGCGCTCTGTACTTGTGAAACAATTCGACTACGATTCGTGGATCCGATTGAGTTTAAGGCCCAAAATTTTTTAATGTCCTATTTAGCTCGGAGTAAACACAATAAAAAATGCATGTGTCGGTGAATGTTTCTTAGTGTTTCAGCTCGTTCGCCAATTTTTCCCAAGTACACATCTCTAATAAAAAATATTTTGGTTGTAACTTCTAAAAGAGCCATTGATGAGACATAACTCCGAAAAGCCATTGATAAGATTGTGGTTCGTTCTAAAAAGTCTGCTTGGGCCTGGAGAAAGGAGATATTTCTCTGAGTGCCTTTGAGTCTGGTTTTTTCTACAAACTTGGCCGTAAAGAATTGGGTTCTGCACTCAAATAAAGATAACAAATAAACAAAGTAATGAAATAATTAAATAGTATTTTTATTTAAAGCGCCAAAAATGTCCGGCTGAGAGAAAGCCAGAAGGATTCTGCACTGTCTCTGGCGCATCATGGGAAATCCCGACAAAGACAGTTACCGGGAGACAGTCATACCACCAGATTCCTGGTGTAAGTCGTGAGAAACTTATTGTCATGCATGTTAGTAGCCTGCGTCGCAGAAGTAATTTAACCTTGGTTAGTATACGTCCGCGAAGCAGTGCCGAGATCCTTGTTCTGGGCCTCCAGCGGACTCAACGAATTACCGGAAGTGCGTATTGAATTTCCCTTCAACCTGATTGGCAAATTGACAATGGCTTTTTTAACAGGCCAATTATGGCGCGTACTCAAATCCTAATACACAGGTGGGGACCCAGAACAATGATTTTGGCGCTGTTTTGCAGAGTTTAGTTTCGTCTGTGGCGCAGGTGAGCTAGACATGGTCTTTACCCATTTGTGAAAACTGAATTTGGGTCACGAACAAAGTGCGCAGTGGCTCGTTTTCGAAGTGTACGCGCATCACTCGATAGCGCAACATCGCGCAATATCACCATTCAACTCGTTTTGCAGCAATGTTGCAAAAACAAGTTGCACGTTTTTTGTTGTCCGTTTATCCGGTCGTACCTTAAATTATAAGAACCAATCACAACAGAGTTCAGCTTCGTGAGGGCGGGGAGCATTGGGTGACTCCGGCCCGAGCGGCTGCAAAGGAGACTACCAATTCAACCCCGGGGGGAGGGGTACTCCCTTATATGGCCTAGACGGGGATGTCCCACTGGACAGGGCCTGGTTTTTTACCTCTCTGTGCTATGGACTTCTCGCAGGGTATATAATTTCGTGCGCGTCTGTGCTAAACAGTGTATATAATTTCGTGTGAGTCTGTCAAAAGGGTATTGCCTGGATATGATCGATTTGATTTGCTAGATGAATTTGTGTTTGTACTCCAAGTTTACAAAAGCAATGACTATAACGTGAATTTGCTCTGGCGTGTATTTTTTCCTTTGTCGGAACTAAACAAGGTAACAAAGTTGAGTGTTGTCCTAAACAGGGTATGTATGTTATAAATGTTTTGTCCTAAACAGAGTCAGGGTTTCAAACCTTCAGCGGCTCACCTATACCCAAATATTGGCCGAGTTCCTCCCAGGGAGTTCAACGAACCAGTCGGAACCCAAAGTAAATAGATATAACCACTGATCGTACTGAAAGCACCGGGAAACTTGTGCATTTCCACTCTCGTGTAATGTTTTCTTGGGTGCGTAAACGTTTATCCACTGGTTATCCTCCTTTTTAACGTTCGCACGCACACAATACAAAATACAACAGCAGCAACAACAAACAAACAAATAAAACGTTACTAAACTTTATCTGCAAGAAATGCTACATAAAGGCAAAGAACGAGAAAACGGAACCCAGCTGTGCCTAAGCCGATCGCCTGACCTCTGTTGAGACGTGCGGCTCTTCGACTTTTGTGCATTATGCTTTTATCTCCCCCTTTAAGTGCTCCACTTTTAATCTCCATTTTAGAGTCGCCTTTAAACTCTATCTTTTTCGAGTCCTTTTAAAAATTCTCCCATCGAGTTAAAATTTTAATATATAGAACGTTGGCTACTGTGGTGTAGAAGCTGCTCGCAAGGTCTTTCAGTCCTAATTTTTTCCCACTAAGTCCCATTATCATTAAGAAGTAATACAATTTAACCAAAACAGGAGAGAGTAAGGACTGTAAAAGTATCCTGCGAGCAGAGGTTTCTCTCTTACATGGCTTTTGGCGTTATCGAAGTCGTTGGCGTGGCTTGTCAGTCGAGTATTTAGTTTGTTTTGCACCGGGGGACTCCGCATATGAAAGAGGTGGGGATGCTCATCGTCTCGCTTAGGGGTGTAAATTTCGGATTTTGGTCTCACTTAGGGTGTTCTGGGCAAAACGCCATCATATTTAGCCGTGGTCTCGTTTAGGGTTTGCACGCGAAAAATATAAAAATATATATATTGCCTGTGTTTTAACATGGTCACTTTTAGGGGTCAAAACAAGATTGGACCACGCCCAGATTGTTCTCCTTTAAGGGTTTAATTCAAAATTTCCGACGAGCATCCCCACCCCTTTCATATGCGGAGTCTCCCCCGCCAGGGTTTTGTAATGGGCACTAATCCTGGACTGTTTTGTTATTGTATATCGAATAGGGAAGGAAACAAAATTAACGACAAAGGGCTAATATTCGTTTTTGGTTTATATCTCAAACTCTGCTTGACATGTACCTCAAAATACAATAATAATAATAGCATAATAATAATAATAATAATAATAATAATAATAATAATAATAATAATAGTAATAATAACAATAATCGGCGTGAACGTGAGGTTGGAAGTTATCCAGAAAACAGCATTGTTGGGGACAGCAAAGATACTAAGGAAAGTACTGTCCCTGTAAGAAGAAGGAAAAGAGAGACCTGGGACCCGTGGTGACTTGGTGTAAACCGCTCCCAAGGACTATAAACCAGGCCGAACACCCTGCCTGAGTCTACAAGGAATGGACATAATAATAACAAATAACAATATAAATACCAATTTTTATTGAAAGCCAAAATCAGTTGACATGCATTATTTATATAACTCTAATCGGTTACATCTTTAAAATGTACAAGTAAGCACACCATAAAGACCATTTCCTCATTTTATGCAGCCATCAAACCCGGTCGTCACCGAACTTGAAGTTGACTTGTAAACTGATAAGTAAACAGGAATACGTTCTGACTGGTATTTTATTACACTGTATATAAAAATGCATTGGCCCAATTAGTGGGCATTAGGAAAAGGAAAAAAAAATTAATGGGTTGGGACATTCTAGACATGCTTCGACTCCTGTGAAGTTACCAATACGTTCCTGGTACACAATTTAATAAAAGGCGTCTCATTGTCTTCAAAACGACCCGTGTCAAACAGAAGGCAATTAGTTAATAAATGTAACTGGCACTTTTTCAATAGCAATGATGATAACTTCAGTGACTTTTCAGTTTTCGCGCTTCGCGTTCAATCTAAGTGCCTTATCTAAGTGCGTCCAGTTTTAAACATGTCACGAAAACAGATGTTATGGTATAAAATACGCTTTGAAACATCTGAATAGTAATGACCAGAACTTTTTACAGCAACAAGTACTTCAAGGATATTTTGCAGCAAAATTCAGTACAGTGATAACTTTACATGTTTAACGCGGGTTCATCTATTTAAATATACGCGCGTCAAATTATCTTCTGCATCGTAAGATACCAGATACTAATTTTGAAATTTTAAAACAATCTAACAAACACACCCTTTCTATTTACTCTTCGCCGGCACCACTTCTTCTTCAGTGCGCACCCGTTTTTCTGTCTGCAAAGCGGATAGAATGAGTATGCGTTTAGATGAATACATATTATTCAAATAATTAAATTCTTAGGTAATCACATTACTTCGAGTGCAGTTTGGAATAAATAAGCACGACTAAATTTTTCAAATTTTTTTTATTCCTAATCATAACAAAATTCTGAAATCTCATTGGCTATCAACTGCCCTGATTTCAGCCTTAATTAGATAATTTAATAGGGCAGTACGAAAAATGTGATTATGTACACGAAAACGTAACTACAACAACAAATTTTGACTGGGCGCGCGTTTTTAGTTCATTCAACTGATTGGCTGAAACAGACTACTACCTTTGTCAAATTCAAACTTTTTCAAGACAAACGCTTTCAAAATCATTCAGCTAAGAACTTGGAAATGTGCAAGGATTGATTTTATATGGTCACCAGCCTGTTAAAGATAACTCGGTTTACAATAATCAGCAGTAAGTAAGTGTTTTTAAATTCATCTTCGATTATGAGAGCTCGGCGTTTGCAAGAAGTATACTGCCGTTTTGAAATCAGGAGAACGCTTCGAGCAGCCAAAGATGAAAGACACTTGCTGAGTTGTTTAACGACTGTTCATCATCGTCTGTTCCTGAGACCCCATCATAGCTGGATCCGGCATGGAGAAATTTTTTTGAGATTTAAAACCCCAAAATGAGGGAGGGAATTTGTTTTCTTCCGACGCTGCCACCGATGGGGTTTTCACTTTTCTTCGTCGGCTTCATCGTAGTCGTTAAGGAAATTTGTACCTCTGTGGCCTGTGACATTGGCGATATGTTCTGAACTTACAATCTTTGCTTTTTTCAGCTTGCTGACCGTTGTTTTTCTTGCAGTATGATTCGTAAGCTTTTTTCTCGCTTTCTTTAAGGCTAGTACCAGCTACGGATACTTTCATTATGTTAGTTATGGTATTTTCGCCCATTGGTTTAGTTCGAACCAGATGTTTAAATTTACGGTTTCGTTTGCTACTGAGGTAAGAAAAAACAGACCATCCTATGGATGTTTCCACAAAAGACTCAAAGAGAGCAACCGGACACCTTTCTCCTCCTACAAATAACGTACGTGACTTGAAATCTCTGTTGTTATCATGGAAAACTTGTATCCTTGTTCATTTAAATACCTGAAAAGTGTAGCTGTCATGATTTGAGTGTGGTTGCCACCGTTTTTGTTCTTTACTTTTTTACTTTAGCGTAGTCTGTTAAAAGTAGCTTGTTTTTTAGTTTCTCTGGCTCATTTTCCTCGATTTTGTTGACAGTATTTTTCTCTTAGCACCGCATTTTCAATACATTTAGCCAGAAAGACGTACTTTTTACTGTGTTCGGGTTTTTGGAACATTTTTTTAACTTTTCTATTTTTGTTTCGCGTACAAAATCAAATCGTCGTTTGCTGAAAACCATGGCCATTTTCTTAAATTTTGTTGTTAAAACAGCTCTAATCTGATTGGTTCTTGGTGGTTTCTTTTGCGTTTTCAGCTAATCGGAAACCATTTGTAATTTGCACTCGTGTTACAAGTTTTGCACTCGTGTAACAGACGAACTGCACTCCTTTCTCGGCCAATCAGAACTTAGTAATTTTTTCGTATACATAATTACAAGTACCCGGAGCACACAGGATACGTAGGTCGGAAGAGCTGTTTGTTTTAGCGATAATGGTTTAAGACGCAAAGTTTTTTGATTACCTGAGAGTCACGTCCTAAAGCCTTCAGTCTTCTCTTTCTCACCTACAAACATAACGCACATTGGTGAATATAAATAATACTAAACAATAATAATAATAAAACTTCACCCAACTATTCAGTGTTCTAGTTTGTCATAGGTTGACGATTTTCAAAAGGCCTATATCTAACTTAACAAAAGGAAAGGAAATCGTTGCCTTGTCTCCGTCCTCCATAAAACGTGAGAGTTTCACTTCGTGTTTCACGCTCTCAAATGTCTCTGGTGAAGGCACTTCGAAGCCCAGGGAAACAAGTTAATGAATATGTGAAAGTTTAATATATAGATTTAGCCAGGGCTAAACCGAAGCTCTGGTTAATAATACGTGTAAACAAAAAAAATTATATCGTGTCAGTGCTAAACGGGGTCGACAATCAAAATGGCTTCAAGACTAATAGATCTAATTAGCAAAAAACAAACTGCACGTGCCGCACACTTTTTCTACTAATCAGAAAAAAACAAAATTGCACGTGCAGCACGCTTTTTGTCTTTCCCTTGCCGTTGTTTTGCACCACTACAACGCTGTTTTGTACGACTAAAACGTCAAACTTCCTGGTTACACATTTTTTTTATGGAGAAATTGTCGTATGTGCTTACTCAATATTTTGTTTCCTGTGTTCATGTTCGCTTTTATTTTTCACTGCCGCTCATTTTCACCTTACTGGCCGC